TTACTTTTGAGTTATAAGGCTTGAAATAATTTCTTAATTTTACATAAACCATAAAATATCTAGTAAACCATTCATTTTTCGATTATCTTACCTTCATACTTTTATGTACAAAATAATGAGAGGAATCAATTGGTGTAAAGAAAACACATAGTTGTTTCTAAGAAAAAATATGGAATTGTTAATTGCAAATTACATATTTTTTCTTAGAAACAACTATGTGTTTTCTTTACACCAATTGATTCCTCTCATTATTTTGTACATAAAAGTATGAAGGTAAGATAATCGAAAAATGAATGGTTTACTAGATATTTTATGGTTTATGTAAAATTAAGAAATTATTTCAAGCCTTATAACTCAAAAAGTACTTAATAAAAAGGTACTTAATTATAGTGTTTTGGAAAGCTCTCGAGATAAGCTACAAGAATATGCAATGAAAAATAGGGGTTCCCATTTAAAAAATTCAAGTCGACCTTGACATGACCTTCACGACGCCACCCAAGGTCAATCAAATTTACCCATGTAATGCATTACTTTATCTTCAACAACTTTTGTCTGAAACATTTTTCAAAATAACCACTTCCTTTGCTTTAAAATGGGGTGTACGGGTGGTCTGAAACACCCGGTATATTTAAAATAATCTAGATCGCGTCTTGAGATTCCGTTCAGTTAGTAAAATAATTGTATTTTCCAATTTACTTAAGAGGATCTTAAATATAAGAGTGAATTATGAATGCGATGTATTTTTGTGCGGACATTTATCAAAAGGAATGCACGTGCTTCTCCAAATTGAGATGAGGTAAAATTGCAAAATATCGAAGCTTTATGCAATGTGTGTAACCTAAATCTGTTAACGTACAAGTATTAGAGTAACGAAATAAGTATATATAATTTGATTAAAAATACGTTTTTTACATGAATTTTTAATTACATATTTTATTATACTACAAATAAAAAAATCATGCTTGCGCGACGTGATTCTAACAATTTACCGACATGCACAAAATGATGACTTTACTGGCAGTCGAAATATCTTGACTACGTAATTCTGGCGTTTAACGCGAATGCAGATGGCGACACTAAACAGCAAAGAAAGATGGCCGCATGAGTGAAATGCGAGGCGCGAAATATTGCATTTCGTATATCGTTCTTTGCGAAAAAAACGTGTGATAGTGTTGTACGTATTCGCGATTAACAGTTCGGTATTGATGAATACTAATCAACGCAAGTATAATTTGTCGTGCATTGGATATCTCTTCAAACTCTGTATATGAATCGTTTTCGAATCGTTCTGATCGCATCGTTCCGATAACACAGTGATCCAAAAAGAATCGTCGAATATATTTCGTACGATTAGAATGGTGCACAGTATCGAGTGACTTTTATTTATTTGAAGCGCGACGTATTTTTGTGCGAACATTTATCGAAAGGAATGCACATGCTTCTCCAAATTGAGATGAGATTAAGATTGCAAAATATCGAAGCTTTTTGCATTGTGTGTAATCTAAATCTGTTAACGTACAAGTATTCGAGTAACGGAATAAAAGATAAAGATTTTGAGATCGTACAAGTTCGTATGATATATATGTATATATTAATATCAATCTTTATTATATATTTATATATTTATTTATTTATGAGTCTTCTTTTTCTTTTTCTGAACATCATTTATTTATTTATTTATTTATTTATTTATTTAGTTCGCTCTCTGCCAAGGTATGAATGCGCACTGACAATAAGTCACTGAATGATGAAGGCGGAAGAACGTTCCGGAAGAACATTCTGGAATATTCTGGATGCTTCGAAGCGTTTGATTGACTAATCAGGAGTAAAATTTCTTGATGAACCTGATTGGTCAGAAGATCATATTATAATGCGCAGAGCGTTCTGCGCAGCACATACACGTGTCTTCTGTACACTCCGGGACAACGATTCGTTCTGCCCCTCTCGCGGGGCAACGGAAGCGTAGTCTCTAACCAATCCACGTTGCCAGCTGATTAGTCACTTCCACGTTCCTCTTTCCACCTTGCCTCGCGACAAAGCAGCCACAGAACGAATCGTTGTCCCGGAGTGTACTTACATACGTAAGCGTCCTCGAGCGTCTCACGCGTTTGAATCTGATTGAGTTCCACGTGCTCCGAAAACAATAACAGCAGTATATAAATAGATATATATACGTTATTATAAAATTTGATTTAAAATGAATACATATTGGAACATACTTTATTTGGAACATCCGCCGTACGCAACTTGGTCGGTTAAATCATTATCTAAAACAGGTATGAGCTATTACGTGGACACGTGCACGTGTAAAAGGTTAAATCTACATAATTTATAAAATCTATATAATTTTAAAAAATTAAATCAAAATTAGCACATTTGGAGCGCAGGAGAGAAACAACCTTTTTATTAATTGTTAGTTTATTTAAAACTTAAAATTACAAAAATAACGGCCGAACATTCGGATCTTTTGATCCTTCCTCAATGCGATTAACAATATATTATAAATTTAATCGCGCTGAAGGATCAAAAAATGATCCGAAATGTTTGCCCATTATTTTTATAATTTTGAGTTTTAAATAAACCAACAATTAATAAGAAGGAAATATCGTTTCTTCGCTGCGCTCCAACTACTGTGCTGTGGTTCTTATATGCCAATTTTGATTTAATTTATTATTTATTTGAGCCAAATTCTCCTAACAATTAATGTATGATTTTAACTATACATATTTATACAGATTTAACTATACATATTTATACAGATTTAACTATACATATATTTTTGTCTATATATTATACATGATTCATTTTGGACTTAATGTTAAAATTAGGAACAATATAAATTAAATATTTCTATATGCAATATTAGTTTCTTTATGCATTAGTCTAGTTCTAACAATTCTAAAAGTACATAAATATATAATTTGTTTACTTACATTTCTAGATAGAAATATAAATCTTTTTAAAAATGTACTCAACAAGGCAATCAAGGATTTTGAATCAATGGATATTCTTCATTCTGAGGCTGCAACCTTAAGTCGCTTCATATACCGAATGAAGAGCAAATTTCGCAATGATAAAGGGTTAAGAAGCATGGTTGCATTAAATAAAGCGTTGATCAATTATTATAATATGTTTTTGCCAAAGGCATATAAAAATTTGGAATCTATTATTGAAATGGAAGACGGAACCTATATATTACCAAGTAAACAAATGATACAATATGTACTTGTGAGGACACAAGGTTTTGCAAAGCTTATGACTCAAATAGGAAATACAGCAAGATATGCCGCACATTTTCTTAAAGCACGAATATCATTAGGTCATGCATGGAGTATTGCTTTACTTGCTTATGCTAATGTGAGCAGGATTTGGTAAGACTTTTATAAATAACTTGTAAACTTATTGTGTTTTTTTTTTTATTTATTATGATAATAATATTCATTTCTTTATAGGTTTTGTTCAAGACACATACTCAGGAGATCATGTAGTTGGTATGATGAACTATATAGCTGTTCAAAAAACTTTGAATATGTTGGTACACATTGGATTCCAAGGAATCAGAGTTTACCATGTGATTTAAGAGCATGGCTCTCTTCAGAGTCGCAAATGAAGTATGTTTGTGATTATCTAACAATTAAATATATTTCATAAAATAAAATAAATTAATGAAATTTTATAATTTAGTATGTCTGATACAACTGAGGAAAAAATATTTGAAAAATCCTTCGTAGAAGAAGCATTTGACACAAATGAAATAAGTTTTGATACATCTAACGAAATTACAATTGATTTTCCAAAATTATCACAAGAAAATGCTTCAACTGATAATATATTAAGTGACGATTCAAGTTCAGACAATGATGATATAGATGATATTGGAGGTTTGTATTAGAGTTGTATCATACATCAAATCTTTTCTATTTCTTTCTGTTTTTTCCATTTTTATATTATCTATTGTTTTTTTCACTTTTATATTATCTAGCAAAATATGTACATAGAAATAAAATATGGAAATATATTAATATATAGAAATATATATAGAAATATATATTAATAAAATATAAATTAATTTTTACCGAGGTCATGTATTTATCATTTTAAACAAGAAAGATACAATTTTTTTAAAAAGAAATGTTTTATTTATAGCAAATATAAAATATATACTAAATATATACATAAAGATAACTTCATCATCATCATTCTTATAAGTATAATAAATAAATGAGAATTATTTGAGAATCAAAGTATTTTAATATGCTATGCAATTCAAATCATATATAAGTAATAATAATTAATAATATAATTATAAATTAATGTTTTGTGAAGAGAATTATGATTTTTGAAGCTTTGATAATGAGGCTTAAAGATGACCAAAATAATCTTAAACATTGTGTTTCGAATTTTTTATTCCTCTTTTTGCAATCTTTTGCAGATTTAAAAAAACTTTGAAGTTAAATTTTAGAGAATGTTGATTGTACTTTATTAAAATAATTTATATTTTGCAGCCTTAAATTTTTTCTTTTCATTTCTTGATTAAATTGAAAATTCCTGTCAGATAAACAAATTGAAAAATATATAACTGCTATAACAAATAAACAAATCTTATTTTATGATATTTTATGATATTTTTTATATTTCAGAAGTAATAACTCGAGAGACATTTGAGGAAAATCTTCCAAAAGTGTCACCCAATCCTGAAATTCCCCTGTCAAGAAAACGTAAATATGTGACTGACAATAAAAGAAAAACAACGGGGAAATTTAAAAAAATTAAATCAAAAACATAAAAAAGGGAATCGAGCAATATCAAAGTTGAAAATCAAATTAAAGAAATAGAAATTGATTCAATTTTGATATATGTTTTATATATAAGACTGACATATGCATCAAATGTGATGTATATGAATTAAAGCTAGAAGCATATGCTTATGGTGCTTATGTAAAAGTATATGCTCCCGGCTTAACTCGTGATATTTATCACATTTATCATATTTATTAAAGATTTATTTAAAGATTTTCGATTCCGTTTTTTACTTTTTTACAACAATATCAAAAAGAAATAGAAAGTAACTTAATTTTGTCATAATTGTTTTATATATAAGATAGCTATGTACCAATGTAATATATATAGGAAACAATCTGTGATAATATATATATATGTATATATGTACAATATATATATATATATATTTTATATATATATATACATATATATATATACATATACATATGTATATATACATATATACATATACATATACATGCCTCTAGTCTGAAAAATAATTTTGTAAATAATCGAAAATCTATTGTTAATAAAAATATCTTTATATATCTTTATATATATATATATATATATATATATATATATATATATATTGTGTATATATATCATTGTCCCTCATATTTCTTGAAATGAAGTTAAATTAATTGAAAATGACGTATTTTTATATAATGATATATACATAAACTCGGATAAGAGATTATTATATTATATAAGGAATTATATCTGGATATCTGCTGCTATGCATACTTTTAATCGCAATTAAGAGCATCGACAAGCGAATTCCTTTATGGGGAGGAAGAGAAGAATTGAAAGGGGAGAAACAAAAACGACATTATGCAATTCTAATTAAAACGATGCGAAGAATATAACATTGAAGCACACAGTAACTAGTTTCTAGTCAAGGGTATTTCCATATTTATACATAAGATATATGGCGTGATGATTAAGCGTCATAGGCCGGGTACAGGTGAATCGCGTATCTTCGTGGTCTCATCCAAAATTTCAGACCGAAGAAATCAGAATGTCTCTTCCGCATGTTGTTGAAGCAACAGGCGCGAAACTGTCGAGTGCCGCAAATATCGGCGCATTCTCGCCCACATTGATCGCATGAAACGGTCTCCCCAAAAGTCCACAGCGCACATACTGCAAAAACAGAAATATTAAAGAATATTACAAAATTACAAATATATAAGTCTTCTTCTTTTCTATATACATATATATATATATATATATATATATATATATATTCTCTTTTATATATATATATTTTTTTTATAGTTAATTGATGTTGCTTGTGTTGAGTCTAAAATGAATAGATCTTTAAAAAATTACAATACTCTTAAGTTTTTCTAAATAAATTTCTTTTAAATTAAATTTAAAATTTCTTTTAAATTATTTTTAATACATATTTTCAAATTTTAATAATAGTTACATTAAAGAAAATATCAAGTAATAATAACGTATGTAAAAAAGCAAAAGCAATTTAAAAGATATGATATAAATCAGTACGAAATTAAAAGAATTATTTTTAGCGTATATTGCGGGGAAGAAAGTAAGAAAATGGATGAAAAAAGTAAGAAATAAAGAACGAAAAGAAATTTAATATAAGTATGCTACAACACGATGCATTTATGGATGTGACGGCGTAGCCATCGGTGTTCAGTAATGAATGTCAAACAAGTAATTACAAGTTACCTCGATCGTATTATGCAAACTAATGCATATCTTTACGAAACTTTTTTTAACTTTCGCAGTTTTCATTCTGGATCATCATTATCAGCCGATGAACTTCAATAGACGATCTCTTATCTAATTTAACATCTCTGTCATAAATAAAAAAAACTATTGATCAGAAATATGTTTCGTGTTAAAAATAGTAGTCATAATTATAATATCGAAGAAATACTATTATTTTTATTTATTATTAGTTATTGTCATGTATTTTTTTGAAGTTTTAATATATTTAAAAATTGTATGATGTACACTTGTATTTTTCAACCATCTTTAAAAACAAATGAGTATAAACAAATAGAATGAAATTAAAAAATTACTTTATATACATTATTTTATTATGAATTGCAAAAAACAAAAATATAGTAAATTAAAAAATAATTAAAATTATAATTATAATTATTATAATTTTAATAAATTATAATTATTAAAAAGTACCATTTCACTTGTTTTTTTATATATTATATTATTTAATCGCCTTTTTTAAAATGTGTCTAATAAATGTATCTAATAAATTATATCTAATAAATATTGTAATTTCATTTTAATATTATTTTATATTTTTTTATATATATTTTAGTCTCTAATATATTTTTCAAATTATTGATAGAACAAAATTTGTACATCTTGATAATTTATTATTAAACATATTAATTTTTTTAAATATTTAATTCTATAATATCCGTATATGTGTACATTCCTGAAATATCATGAATCATAGAAGTATTGAACGGTCATAAAGCTACTTTTAGCATAAACTGTAATAGTCTACTGTTTTCAGCAAAGAAGATCAACGTGAAATCCGGCAATACCACTTTATCTTACTTGTCTCGCTGATGGAACGGTTGATCGGATTATCCCGTAAACATAAAAGATTCTATAGACATTGTGATTATCAACCTCATTTAGCATCTCTTTGAAATGTCAGCAATTTGTAATTAGTGTACTTTATTGCAATTAATATTGCGCGCAATATTACATGATATGCTTTATTAAAAATGGCGTAAATAAAAATTTTGAAACATACAGTACATATTATTATGGAAAGTACATATTATTATTATATGAATTTCTTTTTCTAAACTTTTTGTAAGATATAAAAAAAAATAACTTAAAAGATTCAATCAAGATATATAATAAAGAGAGCGAATGTAAATCCTTTTTATAAATTTTGTTAAAATTTTAAATGTCATTTGGCCAATGAAATAAGATAATAATTAATTAACTTGAAAATTCATTAACTTGATTTTATTAACTAGAAAAAAAAGCATTAATAAATCAAATATATTCATCAAAACGACGATATTAATATTATTACAATCTCTTTAAAAAATAATTTATAATAATATTAAAAATAGGTAAATTGTGAGCGATATTTGTAAATTTTCAAAAAATGCTTCAAAGATACATGTCATAAAATATAAAGTATAAATATAAAATATAAATATAGTATAAAAATATACTATAATAGAGATTAAAGTCGATAAATAAAATAACGTAAGACGTATAAAAAATAACAACAAAAAACGAATAAAAAAAGAATAATTGTTGTAATTTATTTTTCAAAATTTTAAAATATACATACATATATTTGAATGAAATAATGAAAAGATAATAATTAATTAACTTGAAAAATCATTAAATTGATTTTATTAACTTGACTATTAATTTTATTAACTGAAAGAAAGAGCATTAATTCCGTTACCTGCAAGAAAAAGCAGGACCCAGGGATGATTCATTTTTATGAAGTAGTCGTGTTTATAACAGAACGACAGTTGATGAGTTTGGAAGTTTGATGATTTTGAAGGTGAATGCTGTTTGTAAAAAAAAATAAAAATCTATTAGTGACAAATATTAGCACGCAAAAATATTTGAAAATATTAAACTATATTAAAATTGTTAATAAAATTTTGATTAAATAAAACAAGTATTTTGGATAATAACATTATTCTAGTTATAATATACATTCTATTTTGATACAAATACATACTTATTAATGATGTTTTCAAAACGTAATATTAATAAAATTTATTTATCATCTATATACATATATATATATATATATATATATATATATATATATACATAAGTAAATCTATATTATATTAAATAAAATAAATATACACTTGTAGAATCAGTTGCTATATTAAGAATTGTTAAGTGTTTAAATAAATTCTCAATTTATAATATAACTAAAAATAAGATAATTTAGAGATATCAATATTAAAATGTGTAAAAGTAATGTAAATGGAAAAATTCAAAATAATTTTGACATCTATAATTATATAAAAATATAATTATATATGAAATAAAAGCATTTTAAAACAAATAAGATATCATTTAATACAGTATTACAAATTTATATAAATGATTAGGATGTACTCGAAAGAAGAAAGAGATTTATCATAAATGATTACTTACCCTTTACAGGCGAGTGCCGAGAAGCGAATGATAATCTTGAGGGACCGCTACTTCTAGATATCATCCCTACCACCAAGATCATCTCTATCTCATCCCCACCCTCAACGCAATCGCTTGTCGTTTCAATAGCAATATCTAACGTGACGAAATCAAATCGCGAATGCTAATTGTTAAAATTATTGAACAATTGAAGCCACTTGGTGAATAACGCGTACATATAGAAAATTATGTTTAGAAAAATAGATTTTTAATGTATGATCCATTTAAGAATATACTGATAAGCGCTTTTATTTCCTTTCTTTGCATCGAATATTCTTGGATTCTAAAATAAACATGCATTAAATACTTGGTATTTTTCTAGAGTTAATTGCTGAGTCTACTTTAATCTTTTATGTTAATATCAATCTGAGAACAGTAACATAAAAAATATCAATAAGCAACATCACGTTATGTCTCCCTTGTGAAATGTTTGTGCGATAGGGTAGCAATTGCGCTGAAACACACGGAATAAATACATACTTAATTAATATTCCATTGTTCGAAAAATGTGAAAACTGATTTGTTTGAGATTCCGAAAGCTAAAGCACACTTATACACGCTTGATTCTCTCAATAGATACACCAGAAATCTTATAACTTTACAGGCAATATTTGCAGTTTACCAACAATAGAAGAAGTTAGAAACAAAATAATTTTTTCAAGTTAATCTAAAGGCTAATCTCTTGATAAAGTTGCAAGATTTTGTCAATATAAAGCAAATTCTTATTTCATTTCTCTTTTTTAATTTGTTGTTTGATAGCACAATGTGATAAAGGATTAAATAACAAAAAAGTTGTTAGTCTCAAATGCAATATTGTCTGTCGCATTGGAACGATTCGAACTAGGGTAGTAGACAATCCGTTCCCGGCGCTTATATTCCGTATCGGGAATCAACATTTCGCATTCGATGACCGTGGGATCCAACATGTCCTCGATAATGACATCTAGCGATACCCGAGGATCATCCTTGTGCCAATCTATCGAAGATTCTGAAGATTCATTTCTCTCGATTCCTTCGACGTAAAGTCTCAAAGACGGTCGTGGTTGTGCACCCGTCACTGCACACGTTAAATTCACGTGAGTCTTGTTGAATGGATACGTGCGCACCGTCATGTCGCTTTCCGGTACTTAAAAGTAAAAAACAATTGTCAATTATAGAAAATCAATTGCTGAGAGATAGGAATAAATTTTAAAAAATCAAAAAGAAAATGGTATAAGAGCAGCAACGCGCAGTAGTTGGAGCGCAGAGAAGCAACAACACTTCTTTCTTTTTCAATATTAGTTTATTAAAAACATATTATAATAACAAAAAGCAAACGTTTCGGATCATCCTTTGATCCTTCTTCAGCGCGATGTTAACAAATATATATTACAAATAGTGATGCGTTACATTAAACGAATTTATTTTTATAATTTCTCGACGCGTAGGAGACGCTAAATTGCATGCCGCGGAGATCTAGTAAGCATTCTGCTTCCAACAATCAATTAAATATACTATAGTTATGCTATGCGACGTCACAGCAGATCTAGCAAATCGAGTAAAAATAATAAAATAAATACCAAAAGATATTACAGATGAATATCAACCGTTCTTCGCGTTGAAGAAGATGATCCGAAACGTTTGTTTTTTGTTATTATAATATGTTTTTAATAAACTAATATTGAAAAAAGAAAGAAGTATTGTTGCTTCTCTGCGCTCCAACTACCGCGCGTTGCTCTTATGCCATTTTCTTTTTGATTATTTGAGTCAAGTCTCTAATTATTAAATAAATTTTAAATCAAATTCTCTCAAAAACTTACCATAAACAATCATTTTCGCTGAAGCACTCGCCTCATATTGGAACGTACTGATTGTGCACATATATTCCCCTGTCATGTCGATTGTAATGGTCTTCAATCGAATTATAGAATGCGAATACGGATTCTTCAAGTTTTCAGCCGGATATTCCGCGAAATCTTTAATGATTCCAATATCTTGCGGTAACACTAATAATACATCATAATAATACATCATTATAATAGTCATAGTAATGAATATAGAGATTAAAAAAATATAATGCATACATATATGTACACATATAAATAAATATCTATATAATTATATTTTTAGAAAAATATTTTCAATTTTTGTATCTCATTTTACTATAGCAAAAAAAAGAATGAAAAAAATATTACTTTTATTATAACTTTTGCTAAAATCTTTCATATAATGTTATTAAATATACATATAATATTAACTAAATATAACTAACTGTAAATATATACATATGTATGTAGATAAAATAATTACAAATTCGATTCGAGTGTCGTGTCGTATGCAAGAAATAATTTATTGAAGAACAAAATTGCGAAAACATTTAAGCATTTAATAAAATCACAATTCAATATCCAAATAATCTTTTCACGCGCAAACAAGCTGAGTAAAATTTTATAATTTTTAATTTTTATCAATCTTCCGTGTATTAATTGTAATTTTAACCCGTGACATTTTTCTTTTCACGGCCGCGTTTCAATGTTTCCGGATATCTCGCGACAGCTCCGATATAACAAAGTTACTGACGTAAATTTAATAATACGCAAATACACGCACACAGTCAACAGTAAGTTATAATAGGATAAATACGTAGGTGTTAAAAGTATAAATTACTTGGCGGAATCCACTGATAGATTTGATACGCTTCGTGAAACCATTTGATTACTAGTCCGTTGTCGTCTTTATCAATCTCATAGATGCAAATCAGATCCACCGGTCCGGTGCCGTTGCGTACGATGTGCGGCATGTCCAACGATTTTATTGAAGTACCATGGACCTCTGTAAAATATTTTTCGAGAACGCGATATATTTTCCATCATGATAAATGCGTTATCGCGATATTCCTGAATGGCAAATTCAAAATAATCGTTGAGAATCCTTCATTTAATTATCTAAAAAGCGAAAAATTTCAACAAGAGATTTTGAAGCTCGTCGCATGAATTTTACCAAAATTATTTTTAGAATTGAAATTTCTCGAATCGTACGTGAAAAATCGTCTAAAATGCGACATAACAATGTATTGAAAGATTAGAAAAATTAAAAAAAAAACAAAATTTACGAAAGGAATATATATAAGAATTCGCATAACAATTAATAACATATAACAGAAAATTGATTGTCCAAAATCATATCACTGAAAAAGATATCCCGCTATTTTCTTCGTGTCACGATTATCCCGTTTTGATATCTCAACGTTTGCGAATTCGGACAAGTTTTCGCACACTTGTCGATCGAGTTTCCCGATTTCGGAGATCGGAAATTTCGCGCGCGATATATTGTTACTCACCCGAATAACAGGCGAATATTAAAAGAGTGATTATCGAGGGCGAGACCGTATGTACTATCGACAGCATTCTTTCCAAGGTCCCTTTTCACACTGATGCACAATTAAATACGGCTCGTCTAACTCGTGTTAACGTGCAACACCATAGCCGATACGATTCTGCGCAACGATGTATCCCGCCTCTTATATCCGACACATGCTCTGTCAAGCGACTGTCATCGCGCGATGTCTTGCCATCTCGTACAGATAACTCCGAATTAAAATAATTTTCTTGTAAATCGGTTCTTGTGTCTGAAAATATTCCTCTGAAAAAATTTTCATAAATTCTCGATTCGACTTCTTTTTTTTTTATTTAGCTGCGCTCAAACAGACGTTTGCCACATACGTTATCTATTAGTCTAAAGACAATGAAAACCTCTACAATGATGACGTTACAATATGTAAAAGATTTTAAAATAATATTAATTTTTAATATTAATTTTCAAAGGAGAAAGTAAAACTTACTTTTAACTGTTGAGAGAACGATTGAAACGTGTAAATGTGTAAGAGATAATAATTAACGCGTTCCATTATGTGAAAATGAGATTAACGATGCATAAAGGTCTTTGACAGCCATATTATGACCACACGTGCCATTCATATTTATAATTGCAGGATGGTTTTTGGTTTCTCTCCGATCATCGTTTAGAGGCTGCTGTTGTGTAATCAATATGAATGATTAGAAAATTATCATGTAATCGAAAGACATTAATTTTTGATGCAATAGTTTAATACAACGAATGTATTTGTTATTTCGTTTTGAATATAAGCGAAATAAATATCTCATTTACGTTTGCATTTTTGACCTAAAACGAGACCAATTGACATGACATCACTGTCTATCACTTTTGACAAATATATTATCTTATCTAATATCTCATTTGGGAAGGTTCCTGGAAATAATGAAGCGAATGAGAAGTACCTTGTATATAATATGATGTATGAAAGGATCAAATAGAAAAAATTAATCGAATAATAACAATATCTTGAAAACAGCGCGATATCGAATGAAAGGCTGCGCGCCGCGCGCGTTAAAATTATACTTCCATAAATCACGAAAGACACAAGATGAGAAACTCGCATTGTGTTTCATAGGGAAGTGTCTTTAAGTGAAAGATGGAACAAAGCCGTCATTGGCCGCATTCAGCGGACTCAACAGTTGGGCAACATTCCTAGATTTTCCGATGTAACTCGACGCTGATTAGTCGGACCTGAAAGTAGAAACCAATCATATTCGATTGCTACTTAGCGGTTGAGTTCGCTGAATGCGGCCATTATTAGATCTTCCGATGTATTTCGACGCTGATTGGTCGGGTCTAAAAATGAAAACCAATCATGTTCGATTGGTTAGTGGTTGAGTTAAATGTGGCCATTCTTCTTTTTGGATTCGGTTCGTTTGATTTTGTGATACGGTTATACATGTTGAAATAAATGATAACGTAAAACAATTATAAATAGTAAAAGATATTTCTTTCGATTCTTATCGTCGGCATATTTTAGACGTGGTAGAGCAAATCAAATAGAAAAAAGTTACACGTGGTAAGAAGTACGTATGATTAAACGATGAAACGTATACAATAATGGAACGATGTAAAAAAAATTTGTTTACATCATTTTTTCTTTCTTTCTTTTTTTTGTTTTGGGTCACTTTATGTATTCACGCCTCTCTCAGGACAGAAAGAAATATATTTTTTCATTGTCAGCATAACGCGAATGTAATTTGATATAGCTCGTTATCAGATGTATCTCTGGACATGCAAAGCATTTTATAAAACATTAGTTAATGTGTCGATTTGATAAAATAATTAACGTCTATAAAAAAAAACTTGTGTAATAATATTTTGAAGCAAATTTTCCTTTCTAATATTTCTAAATATAATAATGTGTATACGATAAATGTGTGTTACCTATTTGTTTATATAAAATTATCTGTATAAATATATATTTTCACATACAAATTTATTTGTATCGATCAAGAAAAATAGGACTCGAATTTTTATAAACTGTAAAATCTATTTTATTTCAGTTCCGTGCATTTTACTTGAAAAATAAAACAGTTATAAAATTTAAGAGCAAAAAAGCTTCGATTCCCTTCTTTGCTCTTTCTTATTTTTTCTCTTCATATTTTGTATTTACATTTATGTAATTTTTAAAATGTAGAATGCATAATATTTTTAATTTTAATATTTCCTGTAATGTAGAAAATATAACCTGAAATAACAGATATATTTGTTTTCATAGTTGATCATAAAAATCTTTTATACTAAATATATTATAACATCTTTATATTTTAGAACAATTTGATTTTTATCACAGAAGTTTCTATTATTATCAACAATGAGTCACAGGTGGGAAAGTAACAGAACATCATCAAGATATGATCAATCATCACAAAGATATGATCAAAATTCATCGCAAAGATATGATCAAAATTCATCGCAAAGATATGATCAAAATTCATCGCAAAGATATGATCAAAATTCATCGCAAAGATATGATCAAAATTCATCGCAAAGATATGATCAAAATTCTCGCAATTGGGGAGGAACCAATAGAGACAGAAGAGACAGTCAGAGACACTATAATAGATCGTCCAGTGATAACTGGAATAGTGACTCAAATACTCAAATCTATAGTAATAGTTCACGTAAGAGGAGTAATGATGATTCAAATGATACAAATGAACTTGTTATGTACATTGATGCCAACAATGTTGGAAGACTTATCGGAAAGGGTGGCAGCAAAATTAAAGCTCTGCAAGATGAAAGCAATGCTAAGATCAATGTAAGTAACATGAATATTTATACTCATATTGATGTAAAATCTAACTACTGTGATACTTTTGCCTCTATCTAGATTGACAAACAATCAAGTGAAAATGGACAGACTGCTGTGAAATTAATTGGTACAGATGAAGCGCAGCAACGAGCTAAAAATTTAATAGAGGAACTATTAATTGATAGAAATATTTCACATCAAAATGTAGAATCTGATCAAAGGAGAGAAACTAATTTTGAACAAAAGAAGCAAGAAATTGATTGGAATAGTTTTGATTGGACCAAAGCCAATGAAGAATATGTATGTTTTGCTTGTTATGATAAATTTAATAGATCAGTTACTCCATAATACATGAATAAATAAATGCATTAATATCTTTTTAATATCTTTTTTACAGGAAAATCGTCAGAAGGAAAGATGGGCAACTTTGCCTCCTATTATAAAGAACTTTTACAAAGAAGATCCAGCTGTTGCTAATATGTCAAAAGCGAAAATAGCCGAACTAAAAAAAATCAACAATAATATAGAAGTTAAATATGTTTTCGAAAACGAAGAAGGTTCTGACGAGATAAAAATACCGAATCTTATTGAAACTTTTGAACAAGCTTTCCAAGTAATATAATCAATTAAGTATTAGCTTATATAATTATATCTATCATTTTAAAAAAAACTAATCAATATATATTTTTTATTTGTAATATAGAATTATCCAGAAATCCTTAGAGAAATACAAAAACAGGGATTTACAAAACCAAGTCCTATACAATGTCAAGCATGGCCTATTTTATTGAGTGGTCAAGATCTTATCGGGATAGCGCAAACTGGAACTGGTTCGATTATTTTTTATCTTGTGATCTGTTTGTGACTGTTGTGCACATATATTGATAACTCTAATTTCAGGAAAAACTCTTGCTTTTTTACTGCCTGCTTTGATCCATATCGATGGGCAAATAACTCCACGCGACGAGCGCCCTGGGCCAAATGTTCTCGTTATGGCACCGACGAGAGAATTGGCGTTGCAAATTGAGAAAGAAGTAGGAAAATATTCTTATCGCGGCATTAAAGCGTAAGTTTATTTCATATAATAAGATTCCGATTTGTGCATTTCCGTGTATTATTATTTTATATTTGATACATTATAGACGTTTACTTATTTTATATTACACGGAAATTATTTCAGGGTGTGCGTATACGGTGGCGGAAATCGCAAAGAACAAATCAATATTGTAACAAAAGGCGTGCAAATAGTAATTGCGACTCCTGGGAGATTAAATGACTTGGTACAAGCAGGAGTGTTGAATGTATCAGCTGTAACATATCTCATACTTGACGAAGCCGATCGTATGCTGGATATGGGTTTTGAACCACAAATTCGTAAAACCTTACTGGGTGTGCGACCAGATAGACAAACTGTTATGACAAGGTATACATAAATCATATCTTTTAAAGTTTGCCTCATTAAAATAAAACTTTTTAGAAGGAGAGAAATTTTAATAATACTGATAATGATTTATTATATACTTATTAGTGTAAATTATATATAATTGATGTTAATGTGCTATTTTGTATATTCCTTTGTCAGCGCTACATGGCCTCAAGGTGTAAGACGCTTAGCTCAATCATACATGAAAAATCCGATTCAAGTATGTGTTGGATCACTTGATTTAGCAGCTGTTCACACTGTAACACAAAAGATTTGTATGATTAATGAAGATGAAAAATTAGATATGGTTAGCATTTTGAAATAGATTAGAGAATTAATTCACTTATTTTCATTGCAATTATATATCATTTCTTTTTTTTTTATCAGCTATTTGAAATGATATACAATTTTTGTACAAAGTTTAAATATTTTTAAGTAAATAAGAATTTTGAAACAATAATCTTTCCAAATCAACTGAGTTTTTTTAAATACAATATTGATGCAGAATTAGTTGTATTATCTTAATATATCATATATTACAATTGCGTAGATGCATCAGTTCTTTCGTGAGATGGGCTCTTATGATAAGGTGATAGTATTTTTTGGTAAAAAGGCAAAAGTGGACGATATCTCTAGTGATCTAGCTTTGTCGAAAATAGATTGTCAAAGCATTCACGGTGATAGAGAGCAAGCAGACAGAGAACAAGCATTAGAAGATCTAAAAACTGGGGCGGTTCAGATTCTTCTTGCGACCGATGTAGCAAGTCGAGGAATCGATATTGAAGACATTACGTAAGTTTTACAAGTGAAAGATGTGTTATATTTACATAATTACAATAGAACTTCAATATAGCTTTATTATAACAATTTTTTTTTATTTTAGACATGTATTAAATTATGATTTTCCAAAAGATATAGAGGAATACGTTCACAGAGTTGGACGTACTGGACGCGCGGGTCGAACAGGTGAAAGTATCACTTTCATGACAAGACAAGACTGGCATCATGCTAAGGAACTTATCAATATTCTTGAAGAGGCTAATCAAGTCAGTAGATATGTTAGGCGAGAATTTTAATTATTCCAAATTTTTCACAAAGAGACACAACTTTTATATCTTTTATTTCAGGAAGTACCTGAAGAATTATACAAAATGGCTGAAAGATATGAAGTGTGGAAGCAGAAGAAAGATTCAGAACGATCCTATTTAAGAAATAGTAGAGATGGAAACAGAAGTAGAGATGGCAACAGAAGTAGACAAGGCTACAATCGTAGCCGATGGTAAAATGAAACGAAGATTTATAAGATGTATGTTTATTATAAGTACTACCTATACATACATCCTATACATACATACATACATACCACACACACACACACACACACACACACACACACACACACACATGTATGTATGTATGTATGTATATGTACACATATCACATTTAAAGGAAAGTACTCATATATGTATACAGGATAATTAATATCTAATACACACATTGTGATATAACATTTTTATTTATCAATACAATCTCTCTTAAGAACAATCTCAGATAATAAAATATTTTTATTTTTTTATTAATTGCCAAAGTTAATTATAAGAGATTTTATAGAGGATTTAAAATAATTCTTTCATAATTTATGTATTTTATAATGAAAGGTATGGTTTTCGCATGTTATACAATTAAAATAAAATTGCAATCATTTGCATTTAGTTCTAAATTGTTATAATTATTAACAATAAAACATATAATGTGTGTTTCAATATGCAGTATTCAATATGCAGTATTCATTATGTATTAGTAAGAAATAGTACATTCCATTTTGTAAGTTTTTTTCTAAACAATGCACATTTGTTTAAATATGTACTAAGCTTAAACTTGTAAACGAAAAAACAAAAGATTTGTTGTAATATTTACATTCCAATTAAAAGAGATGAACCATTTCACTCAATCAAGTTTATTGAATTTTTTCACTCAACACAGGTAATTTTAATAATATATTTATCTATCTGTAACTGACATTGTGTGAGACATTATTTATCATCTTAAGAAAAACATTAAAAATGAATAACGGGCGGATATTTAACAAATTAGAAACAGGATTACTAAGATTTTTAAAAAATATTTGTATTTTTATTATCAACTTCCAAGTTATCCAAACTAGAACTGTAGTATTTAAACCTATCGACTTTATATTAAATTTATTTTAACATATATTACTTACTGTATTATAGAGAAAAAGATATTTCATTAAAATTGTAATCTAAGTAAAATGTATTTTTATATAATGACAAACAATTTAAAAAGAGGAATTAATAAATTAAAGAGACTATCAATCTTATTCTTCTATTAACATCTCTAATAAAATTTTCACGAAAATAGATAACCATATAGGCAAAATACAATTCTTAAAAATATAAATGATTATTTTACTAATAGTAACCAAAAAAGAAATTTTTTTATTATTAAAATAATCATGTAGAAAAAAACATTACAAAAGTATTGAAGTCCAAATGAAGTAGAGTTAATTGTATACTTTAAAATTTCGTGTTTTCGTGTATTTCTCGGCGAAGATTTTACCGCTCGGAGTCGGTATCGAAAACGCTATATCATCCAACGACAGCACATAACCATAGAAGAATTTCGATCTGAAACATATAAATGGTAATATTTTCTATTTTCCTAATCTTACCAACACCATCTTAACAATCGCAATAACTTACCTCAAAGTATCAACAAGTTTAGTGGCTATACCCTGTTTACGATGACTCATCGCTGTCCAGACAACGTTTATGCCGCATTTCGCAGGTGAGCATTCAGCAGTACAACAGTCCAACTCGATTAGCTCAGGAATCATACGAAATGCCGTTTGGATACGTTCTGCTACCAATATTCCAAGAACGTTTTTCTCGCGTATGTACAACAAGACCTGCAAGATGCATATTTCTCTTTTATCTAATTCACTATAATGTAAAAGATATATCTTTATACCTTTTTGCCCTGATAATCTGACATACTCATATCCGCTAATCCCAAATCTCTATCTACAACGGCCAAAATTTCCGATACTTTCTTCCAATATTGTTTCGAATCACGTGGCTCGACCAAGATTATTCTGCTAGATGTAAAAGGATCTTCCATTATAATACGCTCGTTCTTCCATCCCTAAAATATGATAAAATATGTAACAGATATATCATATTTCTTTATAGCAATGTATGATACTAACTTATGGAATTAAAATGCAATTTACCTGGAATTTTAAAGTCCGTACACTATTATGATAATTTAAATGAGCGTTTTCATCTTCAGGATTGCCTAACTGGTACACAATGTTGCATTCCGAGCATTGAGTGGCACCAAAAGATTTTTGACCAGCATCTAATTGATATTGATCTTCTGCACCACCACCTTTTGTAGACAATTGCCATTTCATATTCTTTTTTGTTGATTTTGTAGCATTCACATTATTTGTTTCTCTAAAAGAGAGATCAAAATATTATACCGCAAAAAATCTAGATTTTTTCTTTATATTAAAGAATTAATATATAAATCAAATAAAAAATATTTTATATATATATATATATATATATATATATATATATATATATATTAAATAGGATATTTTCAATGATAATGAAAATAAGATTTGATTATAAAACATACTCGAAAATATTATTAGATGCAGAATATCCTTTGTTGAACAATGGAAAATATCCTTTATCATTTTCATCAGTTTTTACATCTTTATTACTGTCTGTATTATCAAGCGAAAGATTTCCAAAGTTTGTCACAGAAGTAACATCCTTTATGTTCATGGTCAAAGTCATATTACTGAGTTCAGTAGCTGGAGACATAATCGCGTTTTCGACTGACATTTTCGTTGGTTTTAGCGGAGAAATCATATTTGTTGTATTATTGGTCAATGTTTCCATTGTATCATAATCATCGTCCGCCCAATCATCCCCCAATATTTTCAAGAGATTATTAACTTTATCTTGTTCTAATGTAGCTTCAATCTCTGGTTCATCCACAGTTAGATCTGTAGTATCCAAACAGATATCTGTATTTTTCACTTGTTGCTTACGCACATTTGTGGCAAGAATGTGCTTCTGATTCATCACAGTAACAGCGTGATTCGACCTGTTCAATCTCTTAGTTTTGAAAAATCGTTTACTCTCATCAATTTCTGGTGAAGGGGCTTTTTCCACAATTGCATTCATCTGAACTTCATTTGTGGATGGACTCTTGTTTGAAGTGGCATTCTGTGCAACATGCTCTTCTTTCTTCAATACCTCTGGTTTTGCTTTAGGCTTCTTTAATTTTTTGATTCCGTGATACACGCCGGCATTTATTTTACCGAACTTCTGCTTCTTTAATAACGAACGTCTGTTCATGTTCTGCGCCGGCAAACTTCGTCTTCTTTTAACATCGCTAAAATTACCGAAAACAAAAGGCCGCTCGGTCTTCGCGTTGCTACTATAAAATGATTTAGTACTTAATGAAATATTCTTCAAGTTGTTAGATTCGCTCTTTCTCTCTTGAAACAACGCTGCTCTTGCTCTAGGCACAGAAATATCATCCGTCTTCAATAATTTCGCCGGTTTCACTGTCAATTGATCGTGTGCGCGCCTCTTCAAAGTATTCTCTTTTTGTTCGGGTGATAAATTCTCGTTCATTTCAAGCCCACTAAAAGACTTTCGTCTGTGAAGTTTTGGTAATGGAGCTGTCCTACTTATGGAATTCAAAGGTGTTATCTGCCTACATTCTGGAGTTCTGCTTTTTCGAGGTGTCTCTGTGATGCTCTGATTCTGTATTTCTGTGGCAAAACTTCGTTGAGGCGTTTCTGGTACTATTTCATCCATTGTCACACTCATTATCTTTGAGCGCTGTGGCGTTGATGGTTCTATCAATTTGCGTGGAGAAGATGGCAATGATTTTGAGTTGCTAGTAAGTTTACATCTTGGCGAATATCTAGCAGCTCTAGTGGTTTTCTTGAGTGAACTGAAAGGCGACATATGATCCTTACTACGCTTTGATATTAAGCGATCCCAAAATACAGATGAATCAGAAAAAGATTTTTCAGGTGTCACAAATGGTGAGATGAATTCTCTTCCTGAAGAACTGTCACTAAGACTTGGACTTCGATCGGTAAGAGCTAATGGCGACATAGGTCCCAAATCTGAATCTTCTCCTGAAATTGCATCTCTGCCACAGTTTGAATCTTGAGATGCATTCTTTTTGCAGGAATTGCCATTGGATGGAGCAAAGAGACATTTTTGAGCTCGTCGTGGAGTGTTAAGTAAATCTCCTTGATCACTATTCATTGTCAAATAACTCTCTGGCAAAAAAATGTTTTCTACAAAAATGTTTTAATTAAGACAATGTCAAAATTAAAGATACTTGTAGATTTCGATTGGCCTCAATTATAGTAATGCAAGATAAAAATTTTACTGATATCAAAACATTAAGTACAAGGTTTTTAAAAAATTATATGATAATTTTATGATTTAAAGCCTTCTACAATAAATATATTTGTCAATTTTTTTCCACTTATAATATCAAAGCAGCGAATCATACGCGAAAGAAGTTTAACAGTTCGTATTTGTACGAAAAAAATCAACTCCATGCAATGCATAATAAATTTAACCTGAATTGAACGGTGAATTTAAGGAAGCGCTTTCGCTCAGTGCATCAAATTGTTGATGAATAAAATGACATTCGATGTTGCATCTGTAATGCATAAATACTTTTCTTGAAAATCGTTGTACCTTTCACACAAGTTCGCATCCAGAAATACTACATGAAAGAAGCGCGGGAAACGAGCGAAAAAATTGAACGTTGTGTTAGTTGCTGCGCAACTGTTCTGTAGATTACGCGCGTCATTTCGCGTTTGCGCTTTGTGTTAGTTATATATGACCATAATGCACGATTATTTAGATGCGTGTGCCTCACATTAAATGAACTTCGGAAGAATTTTCAGCCAAAAATCTCCATTGGCTGAAGGGTATCCGATTGACGTTGCCAATTGGCCATTCAAAATAGGACTCTCTGATTGGTTAATCATTGCTGGTTACACTAGGATCGATGTAATTGGCTGTGATCAATCGCAACGTGGTCAAACGAGATACTCTCCCATTGGCTTCACTTCTCTAGCTCGATTTCTAATGATATCGATTGGTCAAAAACTGCAGGTTATAAATAGAATCAATCAGTAAATTGTCATCGTCAATCACATGGCAGATGAAAGAAAAGACATGTTTACGTACAAGTTCGGGAATAATCTATAATTTTTATCCGCGTTATTATGTCTTTTATCGTAAATTGTTTCTTCTGGATAAATTGTATCAAAAGTATTGACAAAATTACGCTAATCCGTGCAAGAAAAACATTCCGATGTCATAGATTATAACCTATGTATAAGTGTACACAAAAACAAAGTACCTTGTTAATAATCCTATGAATAATGGATAAGCGAAATGCTTTACTTGTCTATTGTATTTTTATTACTCTCCAGAGTATTCGTAAGTTATATGTTTCAATTCATGTAATTATTTTATAAGTATGTCATTTTATAGTATGTCACAGATTGATTTATAATTAATATGTATAAAATGAAAAAAATTTCACTTAAAGTGAGAAAAAATTTTTTGAAGAAATTCCAAGATATTTACAAATGATTGAAGAAAATAAAATTTCTTTCATGAATTTATAAAATTATATCTTTTTTTCTAAATTGCCAAAGAAACTTTACAACATAGATTTTCAGATTTAATAAGATATTTAGAATATAAAAAATTATGAGAAATGTGATTATTTTTTCTCAATATTCTCTCTACTATGATAATTTGATCTTGCATAAAAATGAGAAATTTTGCATTATTGTTTTCTATTATTACAAATCTCTTTATATAATGCTCTGAGTGTTTTTTTTATCTATTATTTGCATTAATTTTATATTAACAGATGGGCTCCATAGAAGCTTGAAATATTATGAAACAATTCATAGCACTCATTTCCAACATAGGATTGTAAAGCGAGGTATTAATCACAGTTATAATCCATACAATAAAATAAGTGAGATAGAGTTTTATTCACATGGACGGTAAGATATGTTGATTGTTCTTATATTTATTATCACAAAAATTATCTCATCTTTAATAATGTTTTATGTCAATTAATCATTTTTCTTTCTATTCACAGTCATTTTCGATTAATTTTAACACCTAGGAGAGAAGTTATACATTCCAACTTTAAAGCATATGAGGTCAATGCTGATGGAAAAGAGAAAACTATACATTTAGGTATAACAATACATATTTAAAACTAAGCAAAAATCAAATCGTATTTTTTAAATTTTGTTCTATAGATCATGATAATTTTTACCATGGTCGAGTGTTTGGAGAAATTGAATCTCATGCTCAAATGCATATCGACAATGGTATTCTAACAGGCAGTATAACAACTTTGGATGAAACCTATCATATTGAAGTAAGTGTAAAAATATGTGTATTAAATGAAATTTATACATTAGTAACTAAAAATTTAAACAATATAATGAAAAATAATGAATTAGATGAAATGATATAAAAAGAGAATATATGTGCACTAATATATATATATATATATATATATATATATATATATATGCAGAATATAATTAAATATTTTATATTAAATTTAAATAATATTAACCCTTAAAAAGATTACATATATACATTTTGATATTTTAATGGTAGAATATCTATTAAAAAGCCTTGATCAATAAAAAAAATGTTTAAAATTTATTTTTAATTTTTGTTATGCATAACTATTTTTTACAGATGTCAAGGAATATATATAAATTTTCATAAATTTTTTCAAACATTTTAAGATAGCTAAAACCATGATAAGACATAATCTGTATGTCACAAGAAACAGAGCAAAAAAATGACTTACAAGAATTAAAAATAAGAATGTACAATTGCATTATATCTTAAATTTTTGGCTATTTTTGTCTACATTTTGATATAGGTTATCAGATTGTTAATTAGAAATTAATTTTAAATTTTATTTTAGCCATCTTGGAGACATCTTCCTCATTTAGACAATCAAACAATGATCATTTATAAATCATCTGATGTTAAACTCAGTTGGGAACATTATAAAGATGGTGAAGGCCACACACATGGAGCTCCAAAGACCTGTGGTTATATCAAGGAAAATTTAAGTATGATTTTATTGCAATATAAATAGTATATAATTTATATTTTATAGAATTATTTCTAATTCTGTGTGACTTTAATATTATGCGCATTTTACCATAGATTATACTCTGAATGAGGAGGATGATATTGAGAAAAATGACATAAAAAAGGATGATAGCAGTAGTAGGATAAAAAGACAAACAGAAACCTATGATTATGCTCCAACAAAAACAAGATGTCCACTATTATTAGTTGCTGATTATCGATTTTATCAAGAAATGGGTGCCAGTAGTACAAAAACTACAATTAATTATCTGGTATATTTGAGTTTAATAATATAATTGTACATTGATTTGCAATCATATTAATATTAATTTATTGCAGATAAGTTTGATTGATAGAGTACATAAGATATACAATGACACTTTATGGATGGAACATAAAGAGGAAGATGGTTTCAAAGGAATGGGTTTCGTTATTAAAAAAATCGTCGTTCATAGTGAGCCGACACGAGTGAGAGGTGGCGAAACACATTATAATATGGTTCGAGAAAAATGGGACGTCCGTACATTGCTCGAGGTTATTATATAAATTAAAAAATATTCCTTATTAAATATAAATATCGTTTCTTATTACATAATGTGTTAATGCAGGTGTTCAGTCGAGAATATAGCCATAAGGACTTTTGTTTAGCTCACCTGTTTACCGATCTTAAGTTTGAAGGTGGTATTCTTGGATTGGCTTATGTAGGATCTCCTCGTAGGAATTCAGTGGGTGGTATATGTACACCAGGTATTTTAAAATTTAATATTTTGTATTAATGTTAAATAAAAAATATTATATAATAACAAAATACAATGCAACATTTATATAATATATCTTCCTTTTTCATAACATAATATAAATTATCAGAAAATTTATTTATTAAAATTTATTCTTTTACAGAATATTTCAAAAACGGATATACATTATATCTGAACTCAGGTCTAAGCTCCAGTAGAAATCATTACGGACAGAGAGTAATTACAAGAGAAGCCGATTTGGTTACAGCACATGAATTTGGTCATAACTGGGGTTCTGAACACGACCCAGATGTTTCGGTAAATGACACTTTAGATATCATCATATCACAATTTCTGAGATATAAAGCTAATAACACAATTTAATAGCAAATATCATTATTAAAAATAAGAAAATACAATTGAGTAAAGTGAAGATGTGATGCAGAAATATATTAATTAAAATCCCTTATTCATTATTGAAGCATATCTTTATATCGACATTCATTTTGCTCTGTAACAAATCTTTTATTATTTTATTTTTGTTTCATTTTTATAAGATTGAAACTTAATCTTCTGATATTATTGATTATAGAGTTGCAGTCCAAGTGCAAGTCAAGGTGGTTCTTACTTGATGTATACTTACAGTGTTAGTGGCTATGATGTAAATAATAAGGTAAAATATATTTATTTATATATATTTTATTTTCTATTACAATATAATAAATTGAATATTCTAATGTATGTTTCTTGAATAAGGCATTAATTATTTTTTGTTTTTTTGATCATATATATATATATATATATATATATATATATATATATATATATATATGAGCAAATCTACAATATAAAAAAAAATAATCTATATTAATTTATATAAATTTTTCCTATGTATAGAGATTTTCGCCATGCAGTTTACGATCTATCAGAAAAGTCTTGCTAGCCAAATCTGGACGTTGTTTCTCAGAGCCAGAAGAATCGTTCTGTGGAAATTTGAGAGTCGAGGGTGACGAAGAATGTGATGCAGGTCTCTTAGGAACAGAAGACAATGATCCATGTTGTGACAAAAATTGCAAACTTAGAAGCAATATGGGAGCAGTTTGTAGGTAATATTATGAACAATTATATTTCTACATATTTTCATCCCTATTTCTTCTCCGATTTTACGAATAAAAGTCCTTAAGCTAACTTATATTCGACGAATGCGAAATGTTCATTTTATTTCTTTTAACAGTGACAAAAATTCGCCGTGCTGTCAGAGTTGTGCATATATGCCTGCAGGCGTAAAATGTCGTGACGCGCAATATGCTACTTGCGAACAGGAGTCGCGTTGCACTGGAACGTCCAGCGAATGTCCAAGGTCTCCGGCCATGAAGGATGGTACTAATTGTCTTGAACGTGGTCAATGCCGCGGAGGCAAATGTGTGCCCTATTGCGAGACCCAAAATTTACAAAGTTGCATGTGTGATACAAGTATGTACTTTATTTTAATTTTAGAATAAGAACGATAAAAGTTCATGTATACTTGTATCATTTTTTTCATATCACATACAAGGAAAAATTATAATTTTTATAACTTAATTTTATAAATTTTTGTTTACCAATTGATTATTTATACAATATGCAACTAATTACTTTTTTATGTTTTGATTCTATTTCGATACTTAATCCCGTTTTAATTAAAATTGAAAAATATTTAATATATTATTTTACAAAGGTATTTATAGAAAGATAAAAAATTGCATCTTAAAAATGATTATATAACTAATATATTACATAATATCGTTATGTTATATTTTGATAATACATAATTATATGTTGGAAAACATATATTATTATCAATACTATCATACTAAATTGTTGAATTTGATTGACAGTTGGCGATGCATGTAAAAGATGCTGTAGAATGAGTTTGAATGAAACATGTTTTCCGATAGACCCACAAGACATTTTACCCGATGGAACACCGTGCATTCAAGGTTTTTGTAATCAGGTAAGATATGATATTACAGCACTTAACAAGAACTTTAGTTGACTCTAATATTCACATTTGTCTAGGGCGCGTGCGAGAAAACAATTCAAGATGTAGTAGAGCGATTTTGGGACATTATTGAAGACATAAACATCAACAAAGTTATGCGTTTCCTAAAAGATAATATAGTGGGTGCTGTAATAATCATCACTACCATCATATGGATACCAGCAAGCTGCGTTATTAGTTATATCGATTACAGACGAGTTAAAGAGAGTGAGAAAAAATGGCGATGGAAACATACAGATGAACTCATTCATCCGGATGAGCCGAGACAAGTGATCTATATTGGTCAACGACAAAGAGTACAACATGTCATGCATCAATCCTGAATCATGAAACCATGAATCTAGATGATTTGCATTATGTAGATTTTACCATCTAGTCAAAAAAATTCATATAGAGTGATATTGATTTAGAATAACTCAATATTGTAAATATGTTATATTTTTTTAATGTTATATATATATATATATATATATATATATATATAACATTAAAAAATATATATATATATATATATATATATATGTATGTATGTATGTATGTACAAAACTTTTACATAATTGCTGTGAAATTTTCAGTGAATTGTGTAATTCAACAAGCAAATGATACATTCCTATAGCATAAAGAAATTAATCAACTTTTTTTTAATATTATATATATTTCAGAGATACTTATTATTTAATATTATATATATTTCAGAAATAATTATCTTTAAAGAAAGTGTAATCTTCCAGCTGCCAGTACATATTATTGTCTAATCAACTACTTAATTCAAGTATTGTCACTTTACATTAATATTGATACTTAATTCAAGTACTGTCTAATCAATTACCTAATTCAAGTATTGTCTAATCAGTTACTTAATTCAAGTATTATCATTTTACATTAATATTGATGAAATTAAAAATTAAATTTTGTTTTATAATAATTACATAATGATCTGCATTCATGAAGAAAAATAACATTTTGATGTGGAAATATTTAATTAGAAAGTACATAATATGTAAATTTTAAATTCTAATATATTTTAATTATATAAGGCTGTTTTTATCGCTTTTTCTAAATATATTTTAATACATATCTGATTATTAATTATGTTATTAATTAATTTATTAGAGATTTATTTTTTTTACTTTTTCACTTTTAATAAAGATTTTATAAAAACTGTTATATCAAAAAAATTTTAATAATTATAAAACACATAATAAAAAGAAAGGGAGGATAGTTAAAAGATAATTAAAATATAATTAAAAGATAATTAATTTTATTCAAATTAAGTACTTATTTCTATGTATTATTAGGAAAATAAAATTTGTTTTTTTCTATTCTCATGTATTATATAAATTTATTTCTATGTATTGTCTTATTATTATTCAAAATTGACAATTTTTACTTTCATCTTAATTTTTGTTTAGAGAACATGACAAAAGATTATATTTTGAAATTTGAAAATTCATATTACTTTAAATCGTATTCTTTTAGTTTCGAGAAATTAAAGTTTGAATTAATGACTTTCTTTGATTACTTCTTCTAAATTATTATTTCCCTGATGCTGAAATTAAAAGATATAATTTTTGAAATTTATATTTAATTTCTTAGGCTTGTTTTACCTCTTGTCAAAATATGTTTTCTAAAAAAGTAAATTATTCATCTGTCATTATCCATTATTTCCGAAAAATTAAAATAATAAATATTTTAAAAATTATATTAATATATATTTGCTATTTTATTGAGTCATTATAATAAATTATTATAAATTAATACAATTAATAATTATTATAAATAATATATAAAATTTACATTAATTATATATATCTCGTTTTACATTTTTATGACATTTGACATTTTTATTTCTGACATATATATAATCTTAATCAAATTAGAGCACGTGGTCACAATTAGTACCGAATACTTTTGAGAGTGCGTTTGAAAATTTTATCGTAAGATAACGTAACATTTTGACCAATCAGGACAAAAGAAATCAAGATTTCTTTGGTCAATTAAATGCTGTGCCACCTCACAGGTAGAATTTCTGAACGCATCCTGACGTGTCGATAAAGTATTTGCGCATGCGCGCGGTAACCTCGTGTAGAGATACTAGAGGGATTCGAAGGATTGCTTCATTTATTCTTTTTCGAGTTGTTCCACGTGGTGATAGTAAAGATGTCTAAGGAAGAGGAAATGGAATTTCTTACGCACGATACAAACTCTTCCGACTTAAACTGTCCATTGAGATTGCCGGAGACAATCCATTTCGCGAAAGAGGAAGAGAAGACGCTGGAAAAATGGAAGACAAGGGAAACGTTCGAGAAGAGCATGCAGTTGTCGCGAGACAGGCCCAGGTATTCGTTTTACGATGGACCGCCATTCGCCACCGGTTTACCTCATTACGGACATATCTTAGCCGGCACTATAAAAGACATCGTGACGAGGTACGCGTATCAGTGCGGCTATCACGTGGAGCGTCGATTCGGTTGGGATTGTCATGGATTACCGGTGGAGAATGAGATAGATAAGGAGTATAACATCAAGGGACCCGACGACGTAGCCAAAATGGGCATCAAAGAGTACAACCTCAAGTGTCGTAAAATCGTGATGAGATACGCCGACGAATGGGAAAAGATCATCACACGAGTAGGTCGATGGATAGATTTCTCCAACGATTACAAAACCATGTATTCATGGTACATGGAGTCCATTTGGTACATTTTTAAGCAGTTGTATAATAAAGGTCTTGTTTATAAGAGTTCCAAGGTGATGCCTTATTCCACTGCTTGTAATACAGTATTGTCAAACTTCGAAGCGGGTCAGAATTACAAAGATGTTGTCGATCCATCCGTAGTGGTGGCCTTTCCTTTGCTCGCCGAGCCAGGTGTGTCCCTGCTGGCATGGACGACCACTCCCTGGACGTTACCTAGTAATTTGACGCTGTGCGTCAATCCTACTTTTGAATATGTAGAGGTGAAGGATAATGCTTCCGGTAATATTTACATCATATTAGAGGCTCAATTGAAACTTGTTTTTAAATCCCCAGATCTTTACACTATACTAGGTAAGAGGAAGGGCGTGGATCTGAAAGGAAAGGAGTATGAACCACCATTTCCATATTTCAAGCATCATAGAGAGAAGGGTGCTTTCAAAGTATTGAACGATACTTATGTCACAGCGGAGACAGGAACTGGTGTCGTCCACCAAGCTCCATACTTTGGTGAAGATGATTATCGATGCTGTCTAGAAGCTGGTGTAATAACCAAAGAACAGAAAATTGTATGTCCTGTAGACAGCTGTGGTCGCTTTGTAGAACCAGTTCGTGATTTTCTTGGCATGTATGTCAAGGATGCAGATAAAGAGATAATCAAATATCTTAAAGCTAATAAGAAATTGATCGTAAATAGTACAGTGAAACACAGTTATCCGTTTTGCTGGAGAACTGACACACCGCTCATTTACAAAGCCGTACCTTCTTGGTTCCTCAGGGTAGAATTGATCAAAGAACAGTTATTGACGGCAAATAACGCAACTTATTGGGTACCCAATTATGTGAAGGAGAAACGATTCGGCAATTGGCTGCGTGATGCCCGCGACTGGGCCATCAGCAGAAATCGTTACTGGGGCAATCCTATACCGCTGTGGATCTCCGATGACCAGGAAGAAATTGTGTGCATAGGCAGCATTGAAGAGCTGGAACAATTGACGGGCACAAAAATAACGGACATTCATCGAGAGAGCATTGATCATTTGGAGATACCGTCGAGACGATCCGGGCATCCGCCGTTGCGTCGCATACCCGAGGTTTTCGATTGCTGGTTCGAATCCGGTTCCATGCCGTATGCACAAGTGCATTATCCGTTCAAGCAACAAGAAGATTTCGACAAATGTTTCCCGGCGGACTTTATCGCCGAGGGGATTGATCAGACGCGCGGTTGGTTCTACACACTTCTGGTGATATCTACCGCGTTGTTTGGTAAAGCGCCATACAAGAATCTCGTTGTCAACGGTTTGATCCTCGCGTCTGATGGCCAGAAGATGTCGAAACGTAAAAAGAATTATCCTGATCCGCTGGATATAATCAGTAAATATGGAGCGGATGCCCTACGGCTCTATCTCATCAATTCGCCAGTCGTAAGAGCTGACAATTTGCGATTCAAAGAGGAGGGTGTCCGAGATATTATCAAGGATGTTCTTTTACCTTGGTACAACGCATTCCGGTTTCTTGTACAAAATATTGATCAATTCGAGAGAGAGGTGAAAGAAAGATTTGTGTTTGACGAAACAAATCTTACTTACTCTGACAATATAATGGACAAATGGATTATATCTTTCACCCAGACGCTATTGGTTTTCGTGGGGAAAGAGATGACGGAATACAGATTGTACACTGTAGTACCTTACTTAATAAAATATATAGATAATCTTACAAACTGGTACGTAAGAATGAATAGGAAACGTATCAAGAACGAAGATGGCTATGATGATTGTAAGAATGCGTTGAAAACTCTATTTCTGGTTATTTACACAATGGTACGAGTCTATGCACCATTTACTCCATTTATAACAGAATATATGTTTAACTGGTTGTCAAGGTGGTTGCATATGGAGGCTAACACTAGTGTGCACTTTCAAATGTTACCACAACCGTGTGATCATTTGATAAATAATAGCATAGAAAGGGCTGTATCACACATGCAGACTGTCATCGAATTGGCGCGTATCGTGCGAGACAGAAAGACCATACCCACGAAATATCCCTTGCGAGAAATCGTAGTGATTCATCAGGATGAGGAGGTATTGAAGGATATTCTTCTGTTAAAAGCGTATGTACTCGAAGAGCTCAACGTTAGAAAATTAACAGTAACTAGCGACAAAGAGAAATATGGTGTGACTCTGAGAGCCGAACCGGATCACAAGACTCTCGGTGCTCGCTTGAAAGGTGAATTCAAACAGATTATGCAGGCCATCAAAGAACTGTCCGACGAACAATTGCAAAAGTTCGTCGCCACGAAGGAGATTATTGTGGAGGGTCATAAACTTGAAGAGCAGGATCTGCGTCTGATGTTCAACTTCACCGGTCCTACCGCCAAAGAATTATCGAAGCAATACGAAGCTCACAATGAAGGAAGCATGTTAATTCTCCTGGACATCACTCGCGACGAAGAGCTATATAACGAGGGAATAGCGCGGGAAGTAATTAATCGAGTACAGAAGATGCGGAAGAAGACTAATCTCATACCATCTGATGAAGCTATCGTGTTTTACGACTTCAAGGACATGAATAGTACATTGGCCAAGGTGATCATCAGCCACAGGAAATTCATCGAAAACACGACCAAGACTCCGTTAAAAGATATTGCGGACTTTTCTCAGAATACCAATTACGTTACTCTTTCTAGTGAAATGCAAACAATCAAAGAGGAAAAAGTGATGTTTTCGTTAGCTCGGAAACAAGCAGAAATGCCCAAACAGAACGTAGAAAATCGAAAACAGAAAGAATCGCAGAGGGCTCATGTCTTCATGACGCTCATAGGTTTACAACCGAGATTCGATGCGGCGAGAGTCAACGGTCATAAAAACATCGTCAAGATTTGGTTGTGTGCTGAGCAACTTGGTATCATCACGCATGAACGTCTGAAACAGGAGATTGAGTTAGTATTCGGTATTTATGGTTGTTCGTACGACTTGTATCTCAACAATGAAAAATTTACCGTAACAATCGATAATACGCCGGTAAATATAAACTTATTAAACGGACAGACAATAAAAGTCGTGAAACCAGGAATGCCATTGTCATCCGACTAATGACACTTTATTATTTGATATTATCAAAATGACAAATTGAGAAAGAATAAAGCAGTAAATCTCATAAATAAATATTATTATTATATTTTATAATATGTAAGTTCCTAAAAAAGAGATAATGTTTTACAATACACTTCTTAAATTAGGTAAATGTTGAGTGAGATATTCTAAGATATTCAGTTTTTTGTTTATTAATGAAAATATTGTAAACCATAAGAGACTATTTATCTCTTAAGTTAATATTGCAACATGGTCTCTCTCTTTTTTAACATATACATAATGATTTAATATTTAACTTAACATCATTATGCACAGATACAGTCTCCTTCAATAAAAATTATATTCATATTGGTCATTTTGTGAATTAAACAAATTATTAAAAAAAGAATTAAATTATTTATATATTTTGAAGATTATTCTTTCTACAATTTTATTATTTTTCTCTCTTGCATAGTGTTTGATCATTATAAAAAAATAATACATGATTATATTACAATATATTAGAAAAACTGCACAGAAACCAGTTTAATAATGTAAACCATAATAAGTTAGTATTTAAAATGCTGATTTATATTTATTTTTATGTATTTATTTTAGGAAATAAGGAGAGCACATGATATATTGATGAAAGTATCAAATAAATAGACATTTATTGATATTTTAAAACAATCGTAATATATAATTATTTAACTTTAACAAATTATATTATACAGTAAGTCACAAATAATAGTATATTTCGCCCATCTTCTTTTATATCCAAGTTTTTATCTACTCGTCATAAATATCCATTTAATTTTCTTAACACAGGCTGATTTTATTAATGCATATAATTCTTTTTACGTACGAATTGTACAATATTAGTAGCAAGTATTAGTTACAAACAAAGTATGCAAAGTTTTGATATCATAGATAATGCAATATCCTTTTTTCCAAACTTATTATCGATGTAAAATCTGAGTAATTTTTAATGATATAATTGCAATCTTATACATATAACTGTTTAATAATATCCATACAATGTTTAAATATTTAAAATAATGTCACTAAATTCGGCAAATATAAAAACATTTATGATATATACTTGATGTTAACTAACATATATAGCACCAACAATATAACACACTATAAAGTTCGAAAAAAAAGTGATTAACTATATAAATAAATATATTTTTAGAATGTATATTTTTGTGTGTAATTTTTCCTTTTAATATTTAATATTAAAGTTAATTAAAATCATTTATTATTATATAAGATTAAAATAAATAAATTAGTAATTTGTCAGTATTTAATGGATATATATTTTCTTACTGAATAATAAATTATCTTTTCAAGATTATATTTAGCACAAGGAAAAATATATTTGCACAACTTATTTTATGCAAGATATTTTTCCAATTATTGTATGATACAAAGTGATATTTCTTGTGAAAATACTTGCATATAATATGTCTATTATATTCGCAATTTTTCACAAAAATGTTACTAAATTTTATACGATAATTTAACACTTCAATTGTATATAGGATTACTCTTGTAACCGGCTTAAATATAATTTGAAAGAAATTTACTTTAGAAATGTGCATTGCATGTGTTGTATTATGTTTTATTTCTTGAATTAAGCTACTTATAGAGATACACATTAAAATCAACATCTAGAAAAATAATAAAAATCAAATTGTAGAACAAACTCGTCTTTGTTAAAGTAAATATGATTTCGAAAGTGTCACATTAAAAACAAATGCTTAGTGATCAAGATTTCTATGTGATTAAATAATCAAATTAAATCAAGTAATCATATTATTAAATCATATAATAAACCATTTGTATTTAAAGTGCTTTCATTAACATATACAGCGTAGTAATTGCAGTTTTATTCGACGTTTCGAATGTTGTCTTGATCAGGAAAGAAATTACTAAATAGGGAGACAGTAAAGATCGCAGTTAGCGCGTAAAGTGCAAGCGTGGTCGTCGCGGTAAAAAGTTGAGCGTAATGATACCGCGAGTACCACGCGAGACCTAAAACAATCGTCAGGATGCTTACTAAGAGTCGACTCAGGTCCCAATCATTGTGCACCGAACTGAGACCCGTGCCCGTGGGCAGGTCTGAGAACGATTGAGAATTAAAATAGATGGACGACGAATTATCCAATGTAGATGTCTGGGATGATGATACGGTAGCTGGCCGCGGTTGATGCACCCAACAGTGAACTACGCAATCATTGAATAAGCCGCATTGCTCAAGAGTTTGAGTGTCGGGCTGTAATACGCGACCATTGAATACTAATCGTACTGATTTATGCGCTTCCAATTCCATTTGAAAGTGCCTCCTGTAAAATCGAATTAATTTTTTACACACTTTACAATGATTTTATAAATGATATAAGATAAATATTATAATATACTTAAAATAAAAAATATTAACATTATACTATTCACATAATAAAATTAAATTATCATAACGTGTATACAAAAGATATAATTCTTTAATAATAACATATTTACATATTTAAATAATCACCTTTTAAAATCACCTAGCATTTCTTTAAGACTGCCAGTAACTAGTTTCTGATCATCGTTTATGAATTTTAATTTTATAGTGATTTCATTGCTATCGCTTATCGAATCTTCTGTTGTACATTCTGACGAACTACCACAAGTTTGGTCTATAATATTTGTCGTATCAGAATTATCTGCTTTAACAGATCTATGAAGCAGTGTTGAATCATCATTGCTAAATGAATCCATGGTTTCGATAAGTACTTCTTCTGCTGTTGTAGACTCCATTGGTCTAGCGACATCTTGAGTTTCACTAATATCTGATATATCACACAATATAAAAGAGATTCTATTAACATTTATGCAAAGAAGAGACAAGAGAAATATTTACCCATGGCAGATGCATTTGGACAGTTTGATTGTATACTATCATTATCAGAAGCTGTTTCGTTTGTTTCCTCTTCTGTTGTTTCTAAATTTGGTGGTCGCCCAACATCTTGACTAATGCTGCTTACATTTTGACGATTGGCTCTTATTGCCGCGATACGCGTTGGCGTCCGATCACGTAATATAAGTACAGTACGTATCAATGGCTGATCCGCTATACTCGTCGAACACCAAGCGAGCCATCCAACCAGCAATATACTCATAACAATGAAAAAGTCTGTGACTTCATCGCCAACTCCTTCGATCAATGACATTTTATCCAAGATTGATCTGTCAAGATAGCAATACTATTAATAACATTTCATTATATTATAATATAAACAGATGTTAGCATCTATTCAAGTATTATTCATATTAGTCATAAGATAATGATAATCATAAGATAATGATAATGATAATCATAATGATATTATTCATAAAATGATAATAATCGTCATTAATATTGAAATTTTGGGTCGAGATGATAAAGACTTATTTCCCTAATCAATACAAAATAATGACTATTTTTGGAAAAAATCTCACGATGATTGTTTCCCAAAAGCAGTTAATAATCGTGAAATAAAAACAGAAACGATGTAACGTACAATCAAAATCCGCCAGCTGAGAGGTTATCTCGTCGAAAGATTGATTTGTCAACACAGAACGATACTTCGAAGTAAACGCTGCTCCTTTCTGAAAATCGAAGAACGATGCTTCATGACAATACAATCCGATTATTCTAATACAAACTGCGCGATCTAAAAGAAAAAAACTACGTCCTCGTTAAATCGTCCTTTCGCTGACACGTTGTTTTAATCGAGAGAAACGTCTCTTCGTTACGTATCGCTCTCAATGTTGTCGACGTGTATCGCGAACACAACAACGATTGCCAACAGCGGGACGTATATGAAAATTCGATCGACAAACATCTGGAGATGACGCAGATAATAACTTGTGACAGATAACGACTGAATTGATAAATAATTAATGGACGATCTTCTTACGCTCTCTCCCTCTCCTTCTCTGTCATGTGAGACTACCAACTTCGATTATCGCATTCGAATAATCTTGTCCACCGCTATCTACACGACACTACATTCTAAAGAAATAATATCTATGACGAAAGTATTATCAATGTTAGATGACATATCATTCGTTGTTTACTTATATTGCATTCTATATAAACTTGTATTATTGTTTTGACAGTAATTTGATAACAAAGTTGATAAGTCGATATGTTATTGAAATAAATCGTATTGAATATGTATCTGAGATTATGCGAGATTCTCGACACGTATAATTTATTTAATTTGCATCTACTTTTTAATGATTCCACTTAATAATATTTTGTGTTCATAATGGCTATTATATAACTAATATGTATACATCATTGTATTAACTTTCAACGAGGAAATACGAAATTCATCCAATTCAATGAATGTACATGTAGAATTAGATTCAAAAGATCGCGCGCGCGCGGAGATGCATATATATCCACTACAAAATTGTAATTGTTAATTTTTAGAAATGCTTTTCAATATCAATTGACATTTAACATGGAATTTGTATGTCAATTAAATTTAATTACCTTTTTCAAGGTGTGTAAAAAATGAAATCCAAAAGTAAGATTTTAAGTCCTTTTGTTGCAATAAAAATAGATTTATCTTTAGAATCTTCATAATTTATTCATTTATTATTATTTTTATTATAATCCTCGTAAATCTGGAGAAGGGAATTGGATGTTCTAGGAGTGACGATTTTGAATGCAGCTTTGAAATGCTTCTTAACAATAACAGTGGCGTTAAGATTCTCTTCTAACGCTTTCATAGCGGCTTCGTGACATATCGCTTGGATTTCTGCACCGGTGTAGCCTTCCGTTAAAGAAACCAGGTCGTCGATATTTACTTTGTCTTCGATATTTTCTTCCTTCGCGATCGGCATATTTTGCAATTTTATGTTGAATATTTCTCGTCTGGTTTCTTCGTCCGGTAATCCAACGTATATTATACGATCTAATCGTCCAGGTCGAAGAAGTGCCTGATAGAATCATCATTAACGTAATCATTGTCACAATAGACATATTAACGTAATTATTGTCATAATAGATATAAGTAGTATATGGTATAAATAGTATATAGTTGTATATATATAGTATAAATAAAAAAAATATTAGATAATATATTATTATTATGTGAAATAAAATAATAATGACACAGTATTTGTGATTATTACTATAATCATAATATAAATATAGTCAATATTAGATAAAGAAAATTTTAATCAACTATAAATAAAAAGCAAACAATTCAGAAAGATAATCTAATATTTCTAATAATATTGAGAATTGAAAAATGGCAGAAATTTTCGCACAGATAAATTAATTTTTTTTTAAATTGAAACTGTTCTGCATTTTACAAAAGTATCTCTTTAATATATAAATTGGCAACAGTTTCATAATCTGAAATCACAGCTACCTATTTTTTCTATATTACTAAACTCACTCTTTAAGTTTAAGATTAAAAAGAATGTAGAAATTCTAAAGATTTTAGATATAAATCTGTCTCTAATGATTATTTTTTTTTACATATTTATGTCAATAAAAATATTTGCCTCTTTTTTCAATAAAAAAGTTATAAAAAGAAATTGATTCTTCAAATCAGTTATACTCCAATTATATGCTTTGACCGATAATATAAGGAAAATTACTTTGTCAATTTTATCCGGTCGATTAGTAGCCGCTACTAATGTGACGCTTCCCAGAGTCGTAACACCATCGAGTTCAATCAATAATTGAGCCAGTACTCGTTCCTGCACGTTGCTGCCGTTACCATTGGAGAAACCTCTCTCACCACCTAATGCATCTATCTCATCGATGAATATGATGGACGGTGCTACTTGTCTTGCCTTTCGGAATATTTCTCTTACAGCTTTCTCGGACTCGCCGACCCATTTCGAAAATAACTCTGGACCCTACAAACAATTTTACAATACAGTAATGGAAATACAATCAGCATTGAATAACTTACCTTAATATTGAGGAAATTTACTTTACTCTCAGTAGCGAGAGCTTTCGCAATCATAGTTTTTGAACATCCTGGCGGTCCAAACATTAAAACACCTCTAGGAGGTGTAATACCCATTCTTGCAAACGCTTCAGGATGTCTCAGCGGCCATTCGACAGCTTGTTTTAATTTTAACTTCAAGTCCTCCAGTCCACCGATATCTGACCACCTTACATTTGATACTTCCACTAAAACTTCCTTCATAGCTGAAGGTTTTGTTGTAATCAAAGCATGATGAAAATCAATCATGGTTACCTTTGGTTCATCGTCTAACATAATCTTGTCTTTCTGATATTTCACTGCATTAATTATTGCTTTTGAGCACAAACCATATAAATCTGCACCAACAAAACCATGAGTGACAAACGAGATATTCTGTATATCCTCATGTGAAAGTGTATTGGGGATCTTTGAAAGTAATTTTATTAGTATTTCTGTACGCATGTTTGGAGTTGGTACATAAATCTCAAATTCCATATCTAATCTGCCAGGTCTCCTCAGAGAACTATCTATAAAATCTAATTTTGAAGTTGTAGCCATTATTACAATATCACTATTGGTACTTTGTAGATCATCGAAAAGCGTTATTAGTTGAGCAAGAACTCTCCTTTCGTGATCCGTGCTGGAATTACTTCTTTTGGGACACAAATTATCTATATCTTCCAATAAGATTATACTAGGAATATTTGACATTGCTTTGTTGAATATCTCTTTGAGTTTATTTTCTGTTTCACCAATAGACTTGCTATAGATATCTGAACTATACACAGTAAATGCATTAACATTACATTCTGAAATTATAGCATTGGCTATCATGGATTTACCAACACCAATGGGACCATATAATAATATTCCTTTACTGACACCAAAGTGCTCTATGCTTCTGTATTTGCCAATACCTATTGTAACTACATCTCTTATATCAGATATGAGATCACTGTATCCTCCTATATCTTCAATTCTAAATTTTTTTTTCAAGGTACTATTTCCATCTTCTGCAACATTCAAAACTGTCCATTTTGTTGTGTACAATGCTTTATAAAAAGTTATTTTTGTTTGATTACTTGTCAGATTTATGTTTTTAAAAGCTTCTGATAGATTTTCATCTAGTGTTTTGATTTGTTCCTTCCTAGTTTCACCCATCTTAATTTGAACAATTCTGTATGCTATCTTTTTTCCATAGTATGGCACGCTTAATCTATTACCAATAGCAAATATCTTCTGCTCGTTAAAATATTTCAGAATATTATCAAGTTCTGTGGTTACATTAGATATTAAATGTTTTCCCAATTGATTTATTACTATCTCCTTAGCAATATAGACATCAGATTTCAACACATATACTTTTACTAATCCTGCAAGATTATTTAATTCAATGGCTAAAAATAAAACAAAGTTTGTTAATTTCTTCAAGCTAAGCATGATAAATAAATAAATTTGATATATTTACCATGTTTTGTTAAAGAGACACTTGTCAAACTTTTTTCATTAGTTGGCCAAGCTGTTTTAACAAGTACCTCATCTTTGGTCGCAATAACAGTTGATGATCCAATAGCAATATCGCATAATTGGAAAGCAGACTGTGATATAAACACCATATCATTAGCATCCCTCTCAGAGATATGTTTGGGTAATTCTATGAGATACATGATTGTGGACTAAAGAGATAAGAATTTGCAAATAAAAATTACCATTAAAATTAGATAGCTATATACCTTGTGATTGGAAAACTTCTATCGTGCTGTATAAAACTCCATCAGAGATGAAAGAATGATTCCAACTTTCTGTGGAAGGTGGACAGTTTGCTTCGTGCAATAAAATATCTTTCTGCGTTAGAGCACATTGACACTTGTCACATTGCTGCCACGAGGGTGACGATGACGACAAACTCTTTCTCGATTTAGTAGACATCCTGTAAATAAAATATGGATTAAAAAAATGTGTTCTCATGTACTAATGTAGTAATTTATTAAAATAGACATTTAATTTAATTAAAATCCGTTTCCATTAAATTTTCATAAAAACACTATCCGTATCTTTTTAATAAACATAAAGATTTGTAAAATAAAAATCATCGCTTGTAATTATAAAAACAGTTAAAATTTAATTTCCAATATTCAAAATGACAGATTTTCTAACCTTCATAATCACATTTTTAACGGTTTATAATTTTATTTATAGTAAATCAAGAGAAAATTTTTACTTTTTAAATTTTTATTTATATATTAAAAAAAGACTATAAATGAGAGTATCTAAATTTCGGAAATAAAAAATTTACTTTTATCCGCTCATTAAGAGGTTAAGCTACACGAGATTATTTGTAAAATTTATATCAATTCTAAATTCTTACCTTACATATTTTATAAAAATCAAGAATTAAATATATCTAAATCAATCAATCGACACACAATGATATATCAATTATATAGACTTATATAAATGAAAAAAATTAGAAGATAAAGGCTAAAATTCAGGACAAAAATCTCCTTTTGTATCGATTGATCAATTTAATGCTGCTCTACTCCATGGTCCGTCGTTAAGATTTTCATGTTCTAAGTACGCGAGAGGCGAGAGTTGTTTTTGATCGAAATTTATAAAACAAAATTAAATATAATTAAATTAAATATCAATTATATACGTGATTTACAATTAATTATCTAATTTTCTATGTAAAGAAAATATAATATAATATTCTATATAGAATATATTATATCAATATAAGATCAATATAAGATAATATTATATCAATATATAGAATATTATACCAATTTCCTAAATATTTATAAATTCGATATTTTTAAATTTTTATTATAATTGATTATATACCTATAAATATATTATCTGCAAATTTATTTTTATTATTTATATTTTTATTTATTATTATTTATCTCATCATGTACATGGATGTGTAAGAAATAAACTAATCATAAAATCTATTTGTGTGTGCAAAAGATATTAAATGAGAAAAACAGAGACATTTAAAAAGTAAATTAAAAAAAATAAATTAAATATTTCTTTCACAAACTATATATATATATATATATATATATATATATATATATATATATATATACTTTTAGCTTCATATATTTTCTTATACAATTCTACATTATATTGCTTTTTAACAGACATTAATTTAAAAACATTATATGTTTAATTTTACATATCAATGCAATTGTAAAAAAAATTCAATAAATTTTATTCCGAGAAAATAAAAATTGTATTTGAATCTAAGCGTATGCGAATTAAAATACGCATAAATATTTCAAAAATATTTTATTAAAAAAAATAATCATTTTAATGATTCTATATAATTTTACTCTTAAAATATTTACCGTACCGTAATTTTATAATAATTTTGGTTCGGATAGACAAATATATTACTTTTATAAAATTCGATGCGTTATTTTTATTTTTTCTTAATTAACTTTATTAATTAACTAATTAATAAAGTAAACTATTTATTTCACTTGACAAATGAATAAATAATACTATTGATATTAATACCTATAAAAACATGAGTATCTTTTCAGTTAAAGGTGGTCTCTAAAATAAAGATGATAACGTCTCACAATAAATAATAGATTATTGGATTATGTTTAGACACAGTCTCCACCATCAGCGCCTGACATATGCATGCTTTCCATCCTTTTGATTTGATTCTGTAATCACACATCGAAATGCTTTAATATTTATTTCCGTATTAACATTTTTTATTTACATCTTTTTAATTTATAAAGCAAACACGCTATGACATATAAAACATAAAAAAAATATTTCATATTACGGATGAAATCGAAGATATATTTAATTGAAGTGCTTCCTTACTCCTAAAATTAACACATTTCATTTTCTTAGTATCAATTCCCAATATCAATTTCCAGTATCAATTTTCAATATAAAACAGAGAAAGCAACGTATTTTTTTCTATTACGCTCTCTTGTTTATATATTTTTTGTACATAAATCTTTAAAAAATTTATAGAATTTTCTCTTCGTCTGTCATTCGACGAGGCGGATCGCCTATTTCGCATCCCCCTTAGTACGCCACTGGGCGTTTTGTCAAATAACGTTCTCTTGCAGGTTGCGGCGAGCGAAATTGAGATCCGCGCGCGCGCGGTAATTTATGAGTAATGATAATGACCTCTCGCAGACCTCTCAACGATCTTGGCAGTAGCTATGGAGTGTGTTAACGAGCGTGGAGGATAGAGGGAAGAGGAAAAAAAAGAGAGAGAGAGAGATCGCCCGGTATAATCAGAAACGATGATGTTGCAACCGGACGAATCTCTCTCCCTCTCTGGCATGCCGTGACGACGGTGGTGCAGCAAAAAGCACAGGAGGTACGAAGGATGAATCATCTTCCCTTTTTTTTTACTCTCTTCCTTCTGCCTCCTGGATTCCAGCAATATTAGAGAGGAGAGGAGGAGATACCACACACAAACGAAATCCTATTTTTTCTTTAAATCATGGATAGATTTTTTCCAACTAGGAAAACTCAAGAAAAGAAATATGTTATTTATGTATCAAATCGTATCAAGCGAGGTCTTGAAGAAATAATCTTGTGGATACAGAGATACTGTTCGACATATGCACATATAGATACATACATATAACATCTAATAATTTCGGATTGTAATGACAAATCAATCTCCTATTTCATAAATGTATCAATTCTATATCTAAAATTCTTCTACTTATGCAAAGCGGATGAATATGACAATAGCAAATGCAGATATGTAATACAAATATTAATAAACTAATTAGCGAATCGAGTAATTGTCTGATAAATACAAACATCTTCGGGATTGTTAAAAAACAAAAGATCAAGATTGATTTCCAACACGGCGCGCTATTGACTATTAAATATGCAGCAATAAGAAATACAAAAGGTAATGTTTTGAAAAATATTGACAACTAGAAGCTCGCTTTTTCGTGAATTCCTGTTCCTCCGGGGTAGAAACTAAAAAGTTCCCGGGACAACCAAACAAGAACTAGAAACAGGTCGACGGTGGTGACCGGCGAGAGTTGATGGATGGTCTGTCCGTCCGTCCATCATCCCGAGGCGGACCCCGTTCACCAAACGAGATTAATAAAGATCCGCCGTTGTCAGAGAGCCGGACGTCTCTCAACCGACTACAGTCAGTCTTCTCGCAGATCGCAAACCGCGTGGGCAGCACGACCTGATTGCGATTGATCTACCCTGACCCCGAGCCGTCCAGCTATAATTCGAATCCGCACGTGAGAGTAAAAAAGAGAGATAAACGAAAATATTGCATCAATCTCCTTCCTAGTACATTTCTAGTCATCAAAACTCGTGATTGTCGTAAGAGATCGTTTATCGTGGACATCATAGATTGATAGAGACCGCAGTCTTAATCTTCCGGGAATTTCGCTTCCATACGCGCATTCATTCACTCGATATCGAAATGCGCTTACAAAGCACAAGGGGACGGTGGGCAGTCCTTGCCGTAGTTTGCGTGGCTAATTTACGATTAGGTAACATCGCAGTGCCTCTCTCTCTCACTCTTTTTCTGCTCTACTTTTCTCTTGTTTTCCCCGCATCTAAACCTATAACATAAATATTAGATAAATATTAGATTGTAGAATAGATTTTGATCGGTTCTCTTTATTTTCTTATGATTTATATTCGTGCCGTTCTTTAAATAATTTTAAAAGAAATATATACAGCAAAATATCCGCATTAATTTGTAGATGTTCAGAATTATTTCTTTTCTTCTTATATATAGTAATTAATAGTTGCATTAATTGCATTCCAGATATTAATAGAACTTTAATGAATTTAAATCTCGACACTAGATACGTGAAAATAATAGCAATATATTTTTGTAATAAATTTTGCTAATAGTATTGTAATGAGATAAATTTTGCTAATAGTATTGTAATGAGATAAAGTATGATAAAAAAGATCCATTTTTCCAATTATAAAACGTTCAATTTACAAAACGAAAAAACAAATCGAAATCACACTTTCTGTTCCTACTTCTAAGTCAATCACGAAATTTTATTTATTTATATTTAAATTTGTTTTTTAAACTACATTCGATTAAAGATCTAAGTTTCTAATTTTTAGTTTTATTTAAAATAATAACTTCAATTCTTTTACTTCTCATCTTTCGATAATAAATTTAGCTCCTTAATAAATTTATAATTGTTTTATGATTTTTATCATTTAGCTTTCTCCGAGAAAGAATCGGAAAGTGAGGGAAAGGTACACTCGGAGGAACCGCGACAACACTCGTGTTGCGCCCGGCATGAAAAAATGATCGACGTCGGATACGGTAAGTTTTGTATAAAATGTTGATGATTCTTTGACATCTCTTTAATTCTAGATATTAATTCAATGTAAAAAAACAGAAATATGTGATATTTAAATGAAAATTTGAAAAAGTATGTATCTATTAATATAAATCAATCTATTAATTAATTGCTAAAAGGATATGATCTTTATCGCGAGTTAATAATTCATGCTTAATCTAACGAGAGAGGACGAAATATTCAATTTCAACATATCTACATAGGTTTGCAAAAGTTGAGAAAAATTTCAAAAATAAAAAAATTTAATATTAAACATGGAAAAATGTTTTAGATAGAGAGAGAGAGATAGAGAGAGAGATAGAAAGAGAATGAAAGAAAATGAGAGCGTGTATGTATATAAAATATGTATATAAATTATATTAACTTTTTAAGAGAAGAGCAAAATTATAAAAAAAAAATTAATATATAGAATTAAAGATTCTTCATTTTACATGCATATTTGAGTACAAGTAGACAAAATACATCGTTATTCTGAATTGAGCGAATTTCGCGTCAGCCATGCATTAGACTCTCACATTGATCTATTGACTTCAATTGAACAACGTGATCTTTGACTGCTTACGAAGAAGAAGACCATCCTAAATGCTTTAATCGAAATTAATATTTCGATTAAAACACCATATGGCTTTTGCTGTACAATCGAACTATCTTGATCAAATCCTATACCAAAGCCACTTATTTTAAATCATAATTGACTTAACATTTTAAAACGCTTGGAGACATATTTTTATTGAATATAATATAATACGATAAGTCATGTAAGAGATAGTTCATTCTTTCGATCAAATTGAACGGATCTTTTGCCGAGTTTTACGACTCACGTATTATGACATGTCATTTGGTTACTCTCTCTGGCGCGAAGATATTTGCAGGTTGGAGAAGGAAATAAAAAAGGAAAGGTGGCAAAGTATGACACGCGTATCCCGAGCACGAGGATACGAGCGAACGTGAATCACACTACGACGACGAAGACGACGTACTTCCAATCCTACGCGCTCGCGCCAAAAATAGCAGAGTTGTAATAATTTGAGTCACTCACCCTCCTTTAAGGCGCCACCCCTTCTTAGGACTCGCTCCGTGACGCCTCATCTCTCACCTAATTTTTCATACAATCCAATAAATCTACACCCGCGCTGTTTATCCCGAAAAACTATTCACGTTCGTCAGTGCGAACATGTTGTTCACTTCATATTTACGCCCGAAATATTATGAAGAGTTTTGTATCGCTGTGTCTTACGTTACAACATGAATTAGATGCATGTAATATAAATGATTTTGTTTAGGGATGTCCGGAGAAGTTATTCAAATCGATGCTGGACACTGCCGAAAATTATGCCCGCGACATGTATCCGATGATCCGGGAGATGCGAGTCGACCAGCAGTGCAGGTAGATCTTTTTTCGTACAAGTTTTCTTTCCTTTTTCCCTTTTCTCTTGCTCCAATCATGTGGAAAATTTGATTCCTTTCTTGGGAAATATCAAATCAGCAACAATCTGGACAAACTGAACATATTAAAATATACGAAAATATTAAATTCAACAGTAAATCGATCTTATTGTTACGTTATTAAAATTCGAGAAAACACGCTGCATAAATTTTACGATAAAATCTAATCAAAGCTCTCCGATATGATTATCTTATTGTTAGTGGCATGATAAATTGATCGATTCGAAATTGCGAATAATAAACTTCGTGAATTTATATCTGAAGCTCGCGACTAGAGTTCGCGGCAAAAATGCGCTTTTTCACCTTTATTATTGCACGAGAGCAAAAAACTTCTTCGCCTTCTACGCCTTCAAAATGCATCTGCGAATATGAGTCATGTAGATTACGCTTGGCAGCACAGATTCGGTGTTGCATTCCTGCTGAACAATTTGAAGAATACTTGTAGAGTTCAATGTTTGTTTGCCACTCGCTCGGTTGTTTAAGAGTCACCGTGATACTAATATCGCCGTGTTCTAGAATCATACATTCTAAATTTGTAAATTCATTCACGTATCATGAAATTAAAAAATCTAATTTGCAATGGAAAAGAATAAATCGAACAATACTTTTTTTAAATTTTAATAATGAAAAAATACGTCATAAACGTGCACGGAAATAAAGATGAGATATATGTAATATAGAAAAACTATCAATTACAATCAGTTGAACGAGATCACTAATATATCGTGAAAAAAAGAATAAAAATTCAATTCTTTTTGTACGATTAAAATATTTTGACAAAACTATGTGCAATATCGTCTCATGAATTCGTTGGCGAGAAATCTTTGTTTAACCGAGGGCTTTACGCAAGGGGTGAAAGAGATTCGGAGGGACATCATGTGCAGATTTACGAGGCGCAGGATCAAGCAATCACGAATCGGAATGCGGCCACGCCAGACATCGTACGATCTCCACAACTTTTATGGCGAAATAAATATTCGGTCACTTTCTTCCCCAATGTGTCTGTATCTCTATGTCAATAATTTGTACTCGTAATAACTGTCCTTAGAACTTTTCTTAAATGTGAAATATGCTTCGTTAACTATTTAAATGTACTGCTACTTTACTTTTAATATTATTACTATTTTAGAGAGTTATTTTTGATATTTTTTTATTTTCAATAATAAAATATAATAACGAATATAATAACGAATAATTATAACGAAATATTATTCAAGAAACTAAGCAAATAATTTTTTTAATTTTCAAGGATTTTCTTTTATAATTTACAAATAAATCTCCTAAATAAATTTTTGAATTGTGTAACATTTTCTTTAAAATATAAAATATTATTAATAGACAAGTAGTAATAATCAAAAAATTAATAAATAATAATTAATAACATTAGATAATGTTATTAATGTAATATTATTAATAAGTAATAATAAATTACAAATTTTTTATACACAATTATTATTTAAATGACTTTACATACGATAATTATTATTAAAAGACTTTACATCATTCTTTTCGGATTTAAAGATTAAAAAAAATCAAATTATCAAACAAGAGAGAAAATAGAAAATAACATTCGCGCAGACATCAAGTCTTATATGGGATCCCTATGATTCCTTTTTCATATTCATCATTTGCTACTTAAAAAAATTATTGAACGAACTATGAGCATTAAATTGTCACGATCTACGAGTAGATATGAAAATACGATTTCACTCAAACTTCGTTTTAGAAAGTACCTCTTTCTTTCGGGAAAAGTAAAAGGGTCTTCTCGTAATAAAGATTTATTTTAAAACATTTTTCGTCCTTCTCGTATATCTCTGGCTAGCAGGAGAGGAAAAAAAAGAGAAGAAGGCTATTTTCGTCACGTGACGCAATCGGATCGGTGGATACGAAGATGCGATTTTACGGCAGCCACGCTACGCGTTTTAATGGCCAATCGGATGGCGAACCCGGACCGGACGAAACGGAGGCGTTGCACGCAAAATACGCGAAGCGACAGAGTACGATATCTTTTGCGTCCTTCGAAGGTCGAATCCCCGCGGTCACCGCTCCTCCGCACGGCGCCGGCGTGTCCAGCCACTAAATCCCGGAATTATATGCGGAATTTCACGCACGGACAGCGGTCGCGGGAGAAGAGATTTATCAAAACAACCGATATTATATTTTTGATAACAATATACGAGGACATGTTTAACAACCGCGAATTATTACAATTTCTCAATATTTTTTCTTTTTCGCATACCACGTGCAAACGTTCGGATCGCTAGTTTGATTATCCTGAAGTTACGAACAACGGATATGTGATATATTCTATTTTTTTCTATGACTATTCATACAGATGTATTTCGTTTGTTTCTAGAAATGCTCATCGGATTCCCGTTGTCGTGCGAAGGCCGCCAAGTTGGAGAGAGTGTCGACGTTGCAGGGTGTTCGCGTCATCGAGGCTATAGATGCCTGTGAGTGTTCGCCGGAAACATCCTGCAAACGAGAATCCTACGTTCATTTCGTGCATTCCGGCACACCACACCAGACCGTCGTAGATACCGGAGTTTGCATTGGTCATTGCGGCAAAGGTATTAAATCTTCGTATATGCGGTGGTCCTCCTCATCTTTAGCAGTCATTATGATTATTTTCATGTATACATATTGTCAGCATTTTGAGGGCAACAGAAGAGCGATAGCTTTCTTTTTTTAAATTAGTAATATTCTGAAATTTCAATATCTTTAATTATTTAAAATAATTAAAAACGAGATTAATTTATCCTTATTCTTGTTTTCCTTAAAATTCAAAGATTTTACTGTTGTGTATTCACATTTTTCAAGATCTTGGTTGCAAGCCGGTGCGGAATAATACAATCAGCATCAAAGGGCCAAATGGTATGTAAACATCGTGATGATAGATACGAGATTGAAAACTCTGGGTTCTGAAAAAGTTAAAAATGCATCGTAAGTCACTCGAATTGAAATTTATATCATTTTCAAGGTGATGAAATTTACCAAGTGGTGGAGAAATGCGGCTGCGCTGGTAACTGTCACCGGATGGACCATATGGAGACCGTATTGGATTACAGCGAAGTAACAATCAAAGAAGGTACAAACACAACCGACGTGAGACCCGTCATCCGTGTAAGAAATGTTCAATAGCTAATCATTAGAAAAGTAGGAAAGAAAAGAAAAGATAAGTGTCATATATTTAATATTGCCATATCAAAATTTATCTTCTTAGTTACATTTACATTTACATGTCGTTAATATATATTTTGTAATTCCAGTTTTGTGCATTTTTTTTAAATTCCTTTATCTTTCCTACTTTCGATATCACTGATACTTAAATTTTTCTGTACTTGATGACACATCACAATTTGATCTCCGTTGCTTTCGACAGCAAATAAACGTTGGACAATGCATCGGAACGTGTCCGGGAAACGAGACGGAAACATGCCTTTTGCGTGATAAAAAAGAGCCGTATAGATGTCTAGCCGGTTTGTACTCTAAGCAATATAGTTGCACACCAACCACATTCAAGGTGCATGAGTACAGGTAGAATCATTTGCGATTATTATATATATTATCTAGATATTTTAAATAATTCGTTATATTATCTATATTTATCAATCTCACATATGTGTTTCAAGGAATAAGATTTTTTAAATGTTTCAATCCAAGAATTTTCAATACTTTTCAAATGTTTTAATCCGACTATTTCATGTACAAAATGAATGTTTAGCGTGTTTTGAAATTTTTAGAACCCGACGAGGTGCGAAGAGAGAGATAATTCAGATCACCCAGTGTGCCTGTATCTAAATTGTAATTGCAGCAGTAAGTCATCGTGTTTGAATCGAATCAAGGATGAGGAAGAGAGAGAAAGATATACGACGGTGTGTTAGATATACTTTACACACTCATGTTCCTAGGTACATTATGTACTAATCTATCATGACTAAATAAATCAACAATGTTTTCTTCAAGGAGTGAGATTAATACTCTTTCTACTATTTATTTCACTAAATCTTGTTTCCTAAATCCGGACATATTTATCCATTGTAAAATACCTTTATAATATGTCATGTAACTTTTTATCCGGATTACGACCATGTATTAACATGTAAAGTCTAATTCTCCTCGATGCTTTATTTCCTCTAATAAGCAGGATATATCAACAGGAAACAATTAATTAGATAAAATAGATCAAATACGTTGAAAAAAAATTACAAAAATTCTACTAGATAATTTTAATAAATCTACTAGAAAATTTTAATAGAAAATAGATAAGTATAATAGATAAGTATAATAAATATAGTAGGTGCATATGATTGTGCGTTTAACAATTTCTCGTCGCGTCTTTTGCGATTTTGGCATGCGATGTCCATCTTCTACGTAAGAGTGCGAAATATTTACATAACGCAATTATTCATCGACAATGTGTATATGCAAAGGGGAGGCGAAAAAGGGCACACGCAAAGATTCAAATTAGACACAAAACTATATTAAAATAAATCGATGAAATTTTAGCGCGATAAATAATGACTTTCGCGAGTTTTTCGTTAGAAAGCGATAAATATCGTCGACATCGGACGGTCAAATTCACCTAAATATCGCCGCGTGACAAATCACATAACTCGGCAGTTACGAATCCGCGGAATTTAGGAAGCGCCCGTTGTTTTTAATAGCCACACACTGTCATCGTCGGAACGTGACCTCGTATCTCGTGATTTTTTTAGAGTCTCGTTTCTCTTTTATCAAACAATTAAATCGCAAAAATACCCCGTAAATTGGCTCTCTTATCAGTCGGAAAAATCAATAACCCTGCTTTCCTTAGAAAAGTATTGCAACAAAAAATATGAGAATACAATGAAAATATATCAAGATTAGACACTTTTATGCAGTTAAAAGATATTTTTTCCGAGGGAAAAACTTTTTAACAAGGATGTAAATTTAAGATCCTTCTAGACTTACTCGATGCATTCTTCTTTGTACAAGCTTAGCTGTACATTTTATGAACATTCATATAAATTATATACAAATAGACTTATATGTAACTAACTTATGTACAAATAATTGACATATACTTTACGTATCTTGTCAGTGGGTTAAAGGACTACGAAACATTGACGAAAGCGAATGTCAGTAAAGCGGTCTGCGGGGTCGGTTGTATCCAATAACAGCGAGAGAAAAGAGCAAGAAGAGCAATGCTGCGAGGGAAGAGGGGAGAGACGAAGAAGTCGCGGGGGAGGTAACTCCCGGCGTAGCATAAAGGTGAGCACGCAGCCAAGATCTCCCATATGCCACTTAGCTTTTCATTCGGTTCGGTGAAGTCTATTCCGACTCTATTACGCGACTCATCTTTTTCTTTCTTTCTGGATAAAGACAGTCGAGAAAAACGCTAGTTTAATTAATTAGTTGATGTCTTTCAATTGCGATGAAAGCATAATCGACGAGTGATCGATTTTTGCGTGCGATTTTTCAAAAATACGTCCAAGATTTTACCTTTTTTTCATACGTGAATATTCATATCGGCGGTGATGAAGAAAAGCGTGCCATTCTGGTTGCTAGTGTTGCTGGTGCTAATATCTCTGAGCGATGTTAAAGGGTATCCAAAACTAAAGTTTTTCAGGGACAAGAATAGTCATCGGTCAAAATTTGAAGATTTGTCGTGGAGATCCTTCGAACAGCTAGAAAAGAACGATCACGCACTCCGACGAGAGGCAACTCTGCAAAAAATGCAAGAGGTTTGTGTAAATGATAAATTACGACAAAATGCTTTTCAACATATAGTGCTTCAAATACCACAAACACTATCACGTTGAATTGCGCATATATTAAATAACGCGATAATCTAAATTCAAGATTGGCATCAATTCGCATATTTGATGTTTCGTGACAAAAATGCTAGCAGTTATTATATTCAAAGTATCACGTTGCAAAAGATCTTTCGTGATATCAAATTTTTAAAAATTCTTCACTTTAACGATTTTGTTCTGTTGTAGAATTAAATACTATAATAGATATATCAATGTATTCAAATTCATCATCTGTTGCGATAAAGAAAGTTGTTAAAATTTATCATTAACGTTACAGATTTTCGGTATTCGGAATCAAAATGAGAAACTGGCACATCATAAAGTACCGCAATTCATGATAGAACTTTACAATGCTGTCAGCGGAGACACGCAAAATCGAAATCCTTACAACGCCAAGGTTGTGCGCAGTTTCATTGAAAAGGGTAATTTTCGTTTTTTTTTCTAGTCAGTTTTCGAAATAAGATTCTTCACCAAGTTCCATCTTAAAAAGAGAAAGAGACTAATCGTGATCTAACAAATATTTTTCGTAACGTGTAGACACTTCTCTACCGAACTTCTATTTTTTCAACGTTTCGGGTCTGGAGATAAACGAATCGGTGTTAGGCGCCGAGCTGCATCTTTATCGAAAGAAAACATCAATGGAGAATTTTCCTTTATATCCTTATTATATGGTAAGTGCTTGATACTGTCGTATCGTAGAGCTTCTCGACACGTCACTCTCTAATATACGTTTTCTTCCAATTGACATCAAACGTCGACTGAAAAACTGACATTTATGCGTAGATAAAACTGTATCAAGTTCTGAATGATCGCAACCTAGACATGCCGAATCTTCATAGATTATTGAATGTTTATTATGTTGGTGCAGACATTTCCGGTTGGCAGGTAAATATTTTCTTTTTCATTAATAATTATTTTTCCATCTTCTGCTAAATCTTTCATCAATTAATTTATTAATAAAGAACTATTTGTCAAGACACTTTCAATATTTCTTTTTTATTTTCTCACAATTTTTAAGAATATTTCAAATTTTTAGTTGTATTTTTATAAATCTTAAATATTATTTGTCAGTATTTTAATACGTCTTATGTATCGGAAAAAATTCTTTCGAGAAATTATATTTTTTGTCGACAATTGATCAAATAATTTGTGAAGTAATCTCAAATTGAGATGTCAATTTGCCCATTTATTTTCGAAAAAGAGTTTAGTAATTTTTATATTTAACGTAATCACATACAATATTTGTTTTTCAAAGGAATTAATAATAATGAAAAAATTCACAAATTATAAATTGTCGACATTAGTGAACATTTACCGAAAATTGTATTTAGAGAAATAAAAGAAAAAAACATAATCTCTCAAAAGAATTTTTTCCGATACATAAGACGTACTAAAATATTAAATATATATATTATTATTAAATATGATGGAATTTGTCTAGGTGCTCAATGTGACACAGGCTGTTTTTGGATGGTTGAATGGCGAGCCAAATCTGGGCCTTTTAGTGACGGTGTCGAGTCTATTCGAGAACAAAATGTCGATGGAATTTTTTCGCCGAAATGGTCACTATAATAAGCAGCCGATACTAGTGCTTTTCGACGACATTAGCAACAAGCTTAATCCATCTAGCAAATTTTCGTATGACGTTTACGGATATCAGAGTGACAAGAAGGACCGAGAAGTGGAGCAAGAGAGCGAAAGAGAAGAGAAAGAAAAGGAAGAAAAAGATAAAATAAATTTGGAGAACGACTATAGTGACGAGGAACACAGATTCAAGAGATTACCAAAAGACGGTCAGCTCGAGGAAGTTATGCTGACGAATAGATACGAGCCAGAATTCTTCCAGCGGTCAAAGAGAAGACGCGAAAGGAAGGATGATAAACGAGAAAAGAATGAACCTGCCTCTTACGATTCTCAAGAACGAGAAACGGAATCGTTGATGCTGGAAGCAGCAACGAGGCGTCGGCGTCGCGATGTCGCGTCGACCAAGAGACGCACCACCAAAATCGTGTCGAAGAATCACACGAGAAAGATTCCGAGAGTCTTGACATCAATGGACATTTACGAGAGGGCGGAATTTCGCGAGCGGCTGGGCCAGAAAATACGTAATCAATCGACGAGACAGCGTCGCTCAGTAGACAATGAAAACGCGATAACGATACAACCGAACACGACCGAGTGCACGAGACACGAGCTCTACGTCGATTTCCAGGATATCGGCTTGTCTTCGATAATCGCGCCGCCCGGCTACTCCGCTTATCAGTGCAAGGGTGTGTGCGAGTCACCTCTCAGTCAGGATCAATTGCCGACTAATCATGCGACGATACAAGCGATCGTGCACAAGATAGGCCTGGTGAAGGGCGTCGAGAAACCCTGCTGCGTGCCGATCAAGCTGCAGAGTATCAGTATCCTCTTCTTAGATAAGGAGAGCGTCGTGCTCAAAAACTACGAAGACATGGTTGCCGAAAGTTGCGGATGTCGTTAAGTAAAATGACTGAATTTTCTTGAAGAATTTCGAATCTCATCGCAGAGACACTTTCGCAGAAAAGCATGAATAAATGCTGGCAGAAAATGGTGATATCGGAAGAAAAGAAGGGATACATTAGATATCGACCTAAAAATAGAGAATTTCTGTAAATGTAAATCTGACAAAATTATATACTCTAGTGTATAATATTATCATGTTTCTATATTATCATGAAATTTTTTCATGTTTCATAATTGGTATAAAATAATGAGTTAATCATTTATAATCGCTGACTTTCTCTCTTTTTATATTGCAAATAATTATATATACTATTACATCTAAAAAGTTAGAGAAGTAGCTGATTTTTATTGTAAATAGTCATGCTGTTGATTGATCATATCGTTGTTTAATTCTCCAGTAATTAAATTGTTTAAGAGGTTTCAGTATAACAAACTAAAACTCTTTGTATTATTAATTATTGTCTTTATCACGGAAAATTCTCTTAGCACTGTCATCTCCAGAAAGATTCACTCGAATCTTTAAATCGATATGTCATAACACAGCTATTTGTACATAAGAACATTCCCAATTGCGTGTAATATAACACGTGTATTAACGAGTATATGTGTGTATGTCTATCATTAGCAGTATACTTAAGTAACGCCGTTAAATTATTGCTAAGATCGAAGTCGAGGGATTAGACTGTCCAATTGTGTACATGTATATAACGTTTCGCCGAATTTATTTATAACCAAGAGTAAAAAAAAAACAAAATAAATGATATTTTAGATCATCATTGTGATCATTCAAAAATTATTGACAAATAAATTACGCCAATCTGTCCTCCGCATTAAAAAAAAAATCCTCGCAAAGAAGAAACGACGCGAGATTTAATTCCACAGAACGTGATAGCACCATATTTTTTTATCATCCTGCGATGTGTTTTCTTCATGCGATCCGTCTGGATTCATCCGGATCCGTCTTTCGTACGGAGAGCTTTCGGTATTCTTGTTTTTGTGCGAGGAACCGGGGCGAGAATTTACAGGTGCAATAACTCGACAGTAACAATATCCGTCGAGTTTGGCGCCGCTGGGATTGCAGTAATGCAGTCGTGGAATGCAATATTACGACTATTGGTCTTTCCTCTGGTATCCCTCATCAGAAATATATGTATATATACAAGATGTTTCTTAATAAGCGAAAAATTTTAGATGATTTTTTATCGAAAAAATTAAGGAGGTTTTTCATATAAACATATACATCCTCCCTGTGGAGTTACACTCCTCCAAAAGCGAGGGTAAAAAAAGGTTTTTATTTTTTTCTCAAATTTGGAACAAGTTAAAGAAATGAAATTAAGTGGATATTTTCTACTAGTAAAAAGATTATTTATTATTTTTTTCAGTCTCTCGTATTGTTATAAGGCGATAAAACTAGCAACTCCTATTCAATTTTTTATTATAACTTTTTAATGTTTACATGAAAAACCTCCCTTAATTTTCGACAAAGAATCATCTCCTAAAATTCGTCGCACTTATTAAGAAACACCTTGTATATACATATCGACAAAACCTGACTCGACGATGATTGTTTCTTAATATTCTAGAAGAATATACGCGAAAATGCCACGTGTATTGTGTATTTTAGAAACGTTCTGAAGTCCTTTTTAACGTCATAATCGGTCTTGGGATTGAGTAAAACAAGACGCTGTCTTGATCTCTCGATTGAATAATCGTCCCGCGGTGAGGTCGCGTTATCTCGTACAATTGAACGAGATTGCGGGTGATTACGTGAATTCGTTCGACAAATTCGTTCATTTGCGATTTAGTCCCCCTCCACCCTTGGCTTGTTTTCCTCCCGCGCGCGGTGACCTCCTTCATTTTTAGCGCACGTGCCATCGTAACAGGTCTCATTACTCATTCATCTAATTTTATATTCACCTATCCCTTCTCGTTCGTCTCTTTTTTCTTAAAATGCGTGGAAGTATCGAGCCTCGTTATTTTATTCTTTTGAATTATACAAAAAAAAAATAATTACATTATATCTTTAAAATAATAAAAAAGCATTCCAAAAAATTCTATAATTTCTTCCTCCCTTTCGTCTTTTCTCTTTAATACAAGAATTAAATATCTCGATATAAAAAAGTGATTCGTCGCGAAGTTGTAATAATGATATAATACTGGACAGTAGCAAGTACTTTCGTATTCAATGTCGACACATAAGCATTACCTTTTTTCGTTCGATACGCGGATATCAATATAGAGTATCCATATTTCGTCCCGGTAATAACGTCGAGCCGACACGCAAATTTGCATATCGTTTCGCACGACACCCGAGATCGTTCGCGTGCCGCTATGCTGCATTCCGCTCATGCATCCTGAGGCTATATTTAATCCGCGGTGGGTGTATTTTCGAATCTGTCCGACTAAAAATAGCCGAAACGCGTTTCACTGCATTCCACCGTTGTTGTATTTAGATCCCTACGCATTATGATATACACAGCAAGAAATCTTATTACCAAAAGCGCTTTGGGAAGAGAGAGAAAGAGAAAAAAAAGGGAGAGAGAAGGAAAGAAGAGACGAATGCGGAAAGATTCGAATGCAACGACATTTAAATGACAAAAAATGCACACACAGACATATTTTTCATTTCTAGTTTCTTTGATTAAATTAGAGTGTTGTTAAACTGGTAGAATTTTTTTCTTATTACATGAGGTCGCGAATTTAATATAGCAAAATATCACAATTACGAAAAGAAAAGATATTTACTGAAATCATAGATCTAATTGAGAAGAATAATTGATCGTTGGAGGAATGACTATATCGCTATATCGATAGAATGAATAAGAAGCGAAAAACCTAAGAGACTTACAAACAATAGTGCCTTTTGAAATTGTAAGAAATTCTACTTCAAATTTGAAAGAAAACCAATTTTTTATGATCAAGAAAGTAACTGGAGGAAGTAGAAGAAAAAAAGGTATAATGAATAGAAAAGAATACATTAAGAATACATAACATTTCTTTAAAAAGAAAAACCGATATCCTTAGAGAAGGAAAAAGGAAAATAAAGCGAAAAAAAAGCAAAAGACTGGAAAGGGAAACCTTAGACTTTGTGCTGTACAGCTGTGCATTAATGGCATCCGTTCACGTTGAATTTTGTCTCAAAAAATTATCTTCTTTTACAGAATCAATTGTACTGATTAATTATAGATATCTCGTATTCGTAAAAAAAGGAAAAAGGCGGAAACAATTTTCTCGTAAACACGGACGAAGCGGACACCGTTAATGCACACGACTGTACCATAGCGCACAACTCGATGGTGTTCTGTCATCTCGGGCGAACTACCTCTCTCTTTCCCTCTGTCCACTGCTGGCTATTATAGTGAGACAGACTCTTCACCGGTTCACAACTATGCACATAGTGGTAGGCCTTTGAACGGTGCACGCCGCGTGCGCCTACCTTTTCCCCCCTTGGGATCTTCTCTCGACCCTTCAGCCTCTTCGTTCTTTTGCTATATCGCCCGTTTTACATCACGCGTCATCAGTGCTCTCGCCTCCCTACGTCCCGTACGGTGCTCTTCGTATTCGGCGCGCGAGGAATGCGGTGGTAAACAAACGCGGACGTCGACTCCCAAGATCGTCAACAAACATAGCTCAAGAGACGACAATAAAAGGGAAGAGTCTTCGATGAAGAGAATAACAGATAACAATGACCGAATGACCTACCGCGTATTACTTAATATCGATCGTGTGTTGTGATATGTTAGTACGAGATAAATGCTTGACACGTCGACTGTCTAAGAGTAATGCTGAGCGGTCCTGAGAATCGAATTCCGTATTAATAAAATGAGAGTGCTGCGTGTAATTTGCCTGGCGGCGATTTTCACCTCGATTTTAGCGATTCCACAAAAGAATAAGAATCATCAAGTAAGTACTTGAACTAGTAATTCTGCAGAAATTAGAATATATATATTTAAAATAGAAACAAATAAGCCCTATATTGACAACGCAAAATTTTACACTTTGTACTTGATTCGAAATCCTTTCTTAATGGATTAAGTTAGCGTTACATAATCTTCTCCAACTGTTATTTGTTGTAGTAACTTATACAACTGTTTATTCTCAAGCTCTGATTTGATATTCTCGATTTTACTTAAAAATACCGATATCTTTTTTCTTAAATTTCTAACTGATAGTGATTTATGAGGAAAAAATTATCAGTTCTGTTAAATAAGTCTTATTATTTTGCAAGTACATAGTCTCTAAGACTAGATGTTTCTAGATTGTTTTATTCCGAGTTTTTTTTCTTATCTCTTCTTAACTTTAACAAAGAATTTTCATCAATCTTGAAAATAAGACGTTATTATTTTGCAAGTACATAGTCTCTAAGCTAGACGATTCTAGATTGTTTATTCCGAGTTTTTTTCTTATCTCTTCTTGATTTTAACAAAGAATTTTCATCAATCTTGAAAATAAGACGTATCGAACTTTCATTAAAATTCGGTGAAACGTGATACAAAGATTTTTCTTACCGTCATCTTTTTTCTCAAATTTTATTCGATATATTCAAAAATCTCGCTACCGGTAGGCGGCTACGCCATTGACGGGAAACGATCTTGCGGCGTGCCGTTTCTCAGAAGTAAACTTCTCTCCCCCGCTCGGGGATCCTCGTTCCTTTTCTTCCCCGCCGCCGTTCTATCCATACGCCAAACGCCGGCGTTCTTTGATGTCGTCGCGATCGTGTCAGCCTTTTACGTATCGCATAGTCACGCCGGTCATCGGTCTCTTTTCTTTGATGAATTGCTTCTTGATACAGATTCGAACGGATATGTTTCCGATCGAATTATGTCTCTACAGCTCGAAAGAAATAAATCCAGCAATCTGTATCACATCAGCGATTTTTATCGATGTATATTTTAAATGAATATTTTTCCGGGAAATTATGAAATTTGTATTGAAACTTTATATACGAATAAATAATCGCGTTTCGATATTATACACAGATACAAAAAAAGATAATTCCGGAAAAAAATATAATCGTAATGTAAAATAAACTTTAGATTTACTTCTCATTTTCTGTAATCTCCAACTCATAGAGCCTCCTCCTGATTACAGTAACAAAAACATATTGCAACTATAAGATAACTGGTTTTAAGGAATTATCCGTTTTTCAGATAGAAAACTCTAAGACAATACAAGACGTCGAACGTGAGGCAAGCAAGACGAAAATTCCAAGACGATTACTCGATTCACCTGACGAAAAAGATGAGAAGTTTTATTTCTTACAGACTAGACATCGCCGAAACGATCGTATAAAATCAAACGCGGAATCAAGTACTTTAACAAAGGAAGAAAATGATGAGCAAAGTACGCTCGTTTCTATGTCAGACTCTCCTAAAAAAATCGATTCTTCCGACACAAATTTCATGGATATAGATATAATCATGCGAAGTCGAACAAGTAGGAGCGAGAACACGGACATTTATGCTGCAGAATTTTCGGAGATTGAGCAAGACGATAGTTTCAACAGTCTTCTGACAAGATTATTCGAGGCGCTACAAAACGATTCCGTGAAGGATGATCGTGACATATTGAATGGATCGAATTCTATTAATAACTCTAGCGATGACGAAGATCGTTGCCAGAAATGGCTGGACAATAGAGAGAGAATTGAACAAGCTTTCCCGGGTAAATGTACTTTACATGCTCGCAAACTCGCTAGGATATACACAGTATCCTACTTATATAGAATATAAATAGAATATAAACCGATATTAAAATAATATTAGAATCAATTAATATTAGACTTAATTAACAGTAACTTTTATCAAAGAGATGCTTATTTTTTTACAAGAAACACGATAGTGCTAATATCTTCTCTATAGGACGATAATATAAATTTATAAATATATATATATATATATATATAATAGATCTATAAATACCTCTTTGATATATCCCATAGGATCTATCGACGAACTACCGGCGTGTCCATGCCAATATCCCAACGATATCTTTTACAACGATATGATCTGGGATAAGAATCGGCGAAAGAAATTCCGATGGCGCGATGCGACTAACGCTCCCCAACGGTCCGTCTACAAGAATGGCGCCTCTTATTGCGTGCGATCTTTAGCATCTCCGGGAACCAAGACCATGGGCGGACAACACTGTTGTTACGACGAGAACAGAAAACTGTTGACACGCGGCTCCGGCGCTGGCACACCATACATTGTCAATCCAGATGTGTCGTTTGTGTTGCATGACAAGGTCGATCTGCTACCTTGGCGGCTATGTAAGGGCGATTTTACTAGGTACGCATTCATGTACAGCACGTGATGTCAGGTATTCCCGTTCTGTAAATTAGAATCAAGAATGTGTGTTAATAACATGTATCACTTCATATATATATATATATATATATATATATATATATATATATATATATATTTTTTATATTATTTATATATTTATATTTTTATATATATTATTTATATATTTTGTTATTATGTAGATACAATAAAGTGAGAGTACCAAATAACGAAAATAATTGCGAAGTAAATCCAGATGACGAGGAGTATGAATATGAAGTGGAAAATGCGAAAAATTATTGAGATATAATATTGTCGCAATCATACCAAAAAAAAAGACCAATAATCACAAGCAATATCAAAGACCTGTCTTTCACTTTATATAATTGTTCCTTGTAAACAGAGCAATATAATAAATTTTAATTTATTTTCCTATGAATACTGTATATATGTATTTTCAAATTAACAAATCACATTAAAAAAATCTGCTTGAGAACACTGCATGCTGCATAGAAATAATTTTTTTTTATTTTGCACTAAAGTAAATGTTCCTAAGAATTGCTAGCTATTTAATCAACGAACCAAGAGGAAATTGATATCATACTATTTCTTTTTTTGTTACAATAAGAAAAAAGATATGTGACAGCATCATATGGTGGTCCCAAGCAGTCACCTATTTAACAGCACTAATTCCTATTGTTGCTCGACTTTAGTGAATAAAAATGATATTTTCAGTGATAGGAAAGTTGGCTTGTATTATCAATCATTATGAAGTGATTTTAACCTCTATGGATTGTTACTTTAAAATTGAATATGTATGTCAAGCAAGTAAACAATGGCAAATGCAAAGGAATCAAATTTCAAAACTGTCTTTGCTGTCTTATGAGCAAACTGGAGCAAACGCCATTAAATATTTCGTTAATAAATATGCTATGTTATTTGCTTAATATATGCTCTTCCTAAAATAAACATCGAATCGCAGAAAAACTAACCTTTCGTGTGTCCCAGTAGAGCACATCTCAGTTTTCCGCCATATTAGTTTTCATGACGTATGCTGATAGAATTTCTTACCTAACCTTACATGCAAAGTTGTCATGGTTACTGTTTCCAAACATGTGACATACAGCTGTCACATATGCTTGTCAAATCAGTCAATGCATTCTGAAGTCTGATTCGAAGTGGCTTAGAATAGGAACTCTTTCCCATTTAATGCGTGGTTCTCTCTCTATATATATTGAAAAAAAAATTTATACAGATCTAAAATGGACTGGACTACTGAGCTCGAGATTACCTCCAAGAAGGTAATTTCAGTAGCACAATTAAAAATTTGATTATTTAAAATCTTGATAATTAATAAAATAATTTAAAAAAATTCTTTGACTAGAGAATTACTATGATTTAAATTAAAAAATATATTGGTGTATTTTCAGTTGATACCTCGCTTAGGTAGACGTGCAGGTCAGAATAATTTGCAGGAAGAAAATAAATCCGATGATGATCTTCTCGAAAGTCCAATTTCCTTGTCATCTGGAAAGTCTTTGCCTATGCAAAGACCTGTAGTTCCACCTCGTTCTAGGAAAACTGGCTGGGGAGATGAACTGAAAAGCGGCAAGTAAGTTTGTATCAGTTACAAGATAGAATTTATCTATATTTAAAAATAGCAATCATATACAAAGATTAATAATAAAATGTGAATAAACTAAATTTATTAATTTTGAATATGATTAATTGATTAATGTCTTTCATTGCCTAGATCAAAGATGACATCAAATATTGCTGAACAGTGAGTATGTAGGCCCATAAGATTATAAATCAAATGACTATAGTCACTGACAGATTATTTCTTAGGGAGCGTTTTCGAGCAATTGAGAAGGAAGAGCAAGAAGATGGTAAATTGACCTAAATCAATTATATTAACAGTACATATTAATTATAATTAATATACTATTCATATTATATAATTCTAATTATAGTATAAAATAACCAGCAAAAAGATGATAAAAAATTTAAATGTTTTTTTTCTATTTTTTCAACATTATTAATTTTTATATTTGTAGATATTCCTGTTATACCGGATTTGGATGAAATTCAGGAAGATAATATTTCATCTGAAATTGCAAGCGCACCCACGTAAGTATTATTTATATTTATTAAGATTGTTATTAAAAATTTATAATATGCTTAAATTCAGATTAAAGTATTTCAATAAAAAAAGAAAGACGGTTTTTATCAAGATATATCTTAGAGAGATTTAATTGTAAACTAAATTAGAATATAATTTTCAGAATTAATGCAAATAGAGTGACTGCGTATGAGGAACTGGATACTGATCTGGTGAAAAATGCGGCATTTACATCATTAGATGGCGTCAGTCTTTCTCTTCTCGCAGACAAACTGTACAATGAAAATTTGGTGAAGGAATCTGACGAAGTTTGGAATTGGAATCTTCTCTTCACACAAATTTCTTCTGAAATTAATAGCGAAGCACAGGAAAAGATTAAAACTTGAAGCTACAAAAAATTATAAATTACTAGTGTTTTTGTACTTGAAGATAAAAAATAAAACTTCATATATGACAACGAATAATTCTATTGCATCTTGAAAAATTGTATCTTTCAATATATAAAAATCCCACAAAAGCTACATACAATTATAACCCAATTTTTCAAATAGAAGTCTATAATAAAGACTTGCAATATTTTCTTTTCAAGACAAAACTTGACTCATTAACGAACAAATTTTAGAGATTTATTAACTCACCAATTTTGTTGAATAAATTTTAGAGACAAACTAAAAAGTAAGAAAGAAAAAACAAAAAATGGCGTACCGCTATCTGCAGTGCCTGTATATGGAAGCGACAAATTACCTCGTCTTACCTATTCGATTACCCCCCAATTTGGAAATCGCGGTACTTCGAGGAGCGACGTCAGGACTCAACCGTGCAGGCGTGCAAATCCGAGGTCGTAAACGAGCCACGAAGATGCAGGCGCAATCGGGAGTCTATTTTACAGAAGCTACTTGAAGCTTACGACAACGTGATAACACCTACTGAGCAGATCTGCCAAAGTTTTCTGTACGTTTAGCGATCGATGTTCAGCTGTGCAATCACTAGCACACGCTTCCAATAGAACGAGTTTCGAGATAGTATATATACAGATTTACACGATGATATGTACATGCGAGAAACCTCTATCATTATAAGAACTCTATTACAATAAAATGTTACTTCACGTACCTCTGTATGTTAGTTTATAAAATGATGTCTAATATCGCATCGTTTTAATTAATAAGATTTTGCAATTATTACTTAAAATATTAAACGTCAAAAATAAATTGTTTAATGTGGTGGCCATCTAGTGATGAATTCTGTCTTTTCCAAAGATATAGCATATAATAGTTTAGTATAATTCATAGTATATAAATTATTCTTAGGTACGTACAAACAGTTAACATAGTGAGAAATTAAAAATATTAAAAATTAAAATTAAAATAGATGATATAAGAAAAGTGATTCTCGCAATTGCCGATTTAGGCTGCGGTCGGGATGACGCTCTAGATGCTTTGAAACATCATTCTATTTTTATTCTCATGGAATGTAGAACAAAGATAGAATGATGTTTCAAAGCATCCAAAGCGTCTTCCTGACCGCAGCTTCGACAGTGCTGCGACAGTGCCTGTCAATGCATAAACCTAACTTAATCTTAACCTAGCTTAATCTGATAACGAATCCAGTGATTGACGGATTATGTTATGACAATTGATTGAATTTTTTAGCATGCGCGTATGTTTGAATTCACGGAATTGACATTATGGCATAAATAATGGTATGGTATGTCGGCATTTTATAACATAATTTACCGGAATTTAAAAGTAAATATTAGATTGTGCAAAGAAGTTGCTTTGCAATTATTTAGTGAGTATATATGTTTTGCATTTTTAGATTATTAATATTATTGTGTGATTATATAATTAATATTAATTTGGATTATTAATATTAATATATATATTTAATTTTAAAAAATATAACAATTTTACCTTTCTTTTAGCCTACACAATTAAACAGTTTAATTTGACTGAATTAAACATTTTAAAATATAATTTGACATCTCAATCTAAAGAATATCTCATAATAATTTCTTTTCAGATTTAATACATACAAAGTACTATATATATATATTATATATATACTGAAAACATAAGTATATAGCAATATGTTCAGAGATACTCAAAAAATTATCGTAGAAGATGAGCTTGCCCCATCAGCCTCATATGTCATAAATATGAGAATGGAGGACTTGTTAGAGAAATTAAAGTTATTAAATTATGATGCAGAATTTGTTCAAGAGTTGAGAATGAAACCAATAAACAGGTAAGATATGATATGTTATAAATATATATTTCATATTTAATATTTGATGCATTAATTTTTAGACACTACTTTGTGATCCCAACGAATCCGGGTGAACAATTTTATACATTTACATGCCTGGCTGCATGGTTGATTAGAAAAGCTGGGAAAAATTTTGAGATGCCGCAAGAATCTGATGATCCTAATTCCACAATAGCTTTAATCTTGGATTTTCTCAGGGAAATTGATGTACCTGTAGAATTCCCACCTAATAAACTTAAACAGGGTATTGGAGAACATGCGGTTTATGTGTTGGATAATTTAGCCGACAATGCTTTAAAAGTGGAAAAGTTTAAATGGAAAAAGTAAAGTGATATGTTTTTATTATAATTTTAATAAAACAATTGAATAAACTATTGAAATATGTAAAAATATTAATAGGGTAAACATTCCACCTGACGAGCCTACACCAGAACCAGATATTGAAGATGATGATGCGGAATTAATTTTAGAAAAAGTAGAAGAGGAAATGATGGCTGAGTATGATGATGATGATGAACAAGATATTTTACATATAGATGATATAACAAAATTATACAGTCAACATACGGTAAGCAAAATTCTATTCCTAAATAGAAGTGTTGTGAATAATCTTATTGTATGGAGAATATTATGTTTATGTTAATGATTTTTCTATTTTTCAGAATGAAACACAAAAACCAGACAATATTTTAGAATCTAACACTAATAGAGATGAGTGGCAGTTAGAGTTGGAAAAAGTTCTACCTCGCTTGAAAGTGACTATTAAGACAGGTATTAAATGTCCTTACAGTACAAAATTGAGTTTTTATTTCAAGTGTCACTATTTATTAATTGGAAGATTTTACACATAATAATTTATTATATAGATTCAAGAGATTGGAGAGCACATCTCGAGCAAATGAAACAATTGCGTACAAATATTGCGGCCGATCTAAGCGGTACAAAGACTAACTTAAATAAAATTTATACTGATATTGGAAATACGTTAGACAAAATAAAAACTAGAGAAACTTATCTTAATAAACAGCTCGAACCTCCCTTGATAGAATATCGTTCTTTACAGGTGAATTTTTTTAATATACTATTTGTTTAATAATCATTATATTACACATATACACACATATATTGATATATATAAATTAATTACAATATATAAATTATAAATTATAATTAATAAATAATGTATAAATTATAATTAATTTTAGGAAGAACTATCAAAAATTAAAGAACAATATAGAGATGTTAGCGGTGGTGTTACAGAACGAACAAGAGTTCTTAATAAATTAGTGGAAGAACTAGAACATCTGAAAAGAGAAATGGATGAAAGAGGATCCAGTATGACTGATGGAAGTAGGTGCAAATTTAAATGTGACTCCAACATTATCTTGGTATGTATCTTAATTTTGCTTTAAAATATTCTTGCAGCTCCACTTATTAATATAAAGAAGACGATCACAAAGATGAAAAACGAAATTTCTGAGATGAATATTCGAATCGGTGTATTAGAGTATAGTTTAATGTGTGCGAGAGTACGAGATCGAACGCAATTACGAGAGGACATGAACAGTACGAATACTTCAGTAATAATTTAAATCGTACATCTCTTATTTATATATAGTATTTATATGTCTTTTAATCCGTCCAATATGTGATATCGAGTGTGCAGTTTAGTTTTGAGTATTTGTATTGTTACCACGGGTCCAATTTCTCTGCCTTTTTAAAGTTACAACAATGTATAATTCCATAGAACTGAACATGTTACATCGATTACAGTGTGAAGCATATGGATCTTTTGTTAGCACTTTATATACTTATATGTAGTTATAGTAATTATTAATCGATACCGAAATCACAGAGTGATTGTTTTAATTATGACGATTTCGTCTGTGTTAAATAAATCGTCTTTTCATCTCGTTATATGTAATTCCGATTTAATTATAATTCTACCTTATTTATTTTAAAATTTCTTATATATATTTATTAACACACTTTGACTGCCATACAGAAAATAAGCAGTTGACTATTCAGGCCATTCATTATTTGAAAATAAAATAAATGAATTATATTCGAAAATATATTCAGTGTTTGTATACAATAGATCCACTACTGGATCACATGACTTCTCAGAACAGACAGAATACTCATCGCACAGGCTGTATGATTTTAGCATGACTTGGATGAGTCACGTCGAACATCTGTCAAACATGTTAAAACTTTGATGAATCTTTCCTCTGCGTTTTCGAAAGTTTATCGCACCGATATATAATATCGCGTAGTGATTGTACACGTACGTAGAAAAATACGTATTGCTGCAACGTGCGAGTCCATGACTCCATAAGCGACGTAGTTGGCGCGGAAACTCGCGCGCATTCGCGCGTTACATTTGGATACATATCGCAGCGCGAGTTGAACACAATTCGTCGTAGTATCCGTGCAACGTCAAGCGCAGAGAAGTTGCATTTAAGGATTACTCTCGAACAGGTGCGTAAAGAAAAAAAAGATCGCTTTCTCCTTTTGTTATTATTGATCTTCACGATTCATTTCGAATTTTTTATCGGACTCCTTATCCGTTTGTTAATATCGATTTTATGTCGAGATGAGATAATCATCATCGCTAATAAAACGATATACGCGACTGTGATATTATGATTGTATCGAGAATTTTTGATTATGTCATCGAACATGTTGAAATTATAATTGCGAGTTTTGCATCGAGTCTATTTATTGATTCAAATTTATCGATTCAATTTAATTATAACGCGTTTTTTTGCTATGGATAAAAAACTTGTCAAATGTGCATTTATAATTATGCACTGCCATAATAAAGCATTTTAATCGCTTTAATATCGGCATGAATCATAATAAAAGAATCCAATGAAAACAGCTCTGACTGTTTTATACATGAATTATTATATTACATTATTTATTCATTTTTATAAAGGGACAAATTTAATCTTTAATTTTGAGCTAATCTGCATTTTTTATAAAGATATACAAGATTTATATAATGATTTATATAAAGATTTATTATACAAGAAAGATTTCCCTTTATAATGTGTGAAATTAAGTAATTTGTGAAAAAATATTTGTCCAATTATTTTGATGATCAGAAATACAAGATTTATATAATATAAGAAAGAATCTTCTTCATAATGTGTGAAATTAAGTAATTTGTGAAGAAGTAAATTTATCCAATCATTTTAACTATTTTTATTATTTTCACGATCATGTTATTGCAATATATTTCATTCTCGATGTCAATATTTTGCCTTTGAAATTCCGAACAAATTGTAAATGGTATCTTGTATATAAATGGTTTGTCTGCAAATGGTATCTTGTTGTAGCCGGATGCGTGATAACTTTCTTTTATATTTGCTTGAATCGCAATGGTACGTTATATACAATCACCGGAAAAGATTTTCTCTTCGTTTCTCACTTTCACTTCGCGCTTTAAAAATTGCATTTCTATCTTACGCATATTCATGCTATACGCGAAACATATTGAACAATCACGCTAACATATTTTTTTGCGGTATACATAAAATTAATAAATATAATAATGTAATGAAATTATAACACAAATAATTAATATAGATTTATCTCTAAACTGTTTTTTTATATATTTTCCTGGTATATATGTTAAATAACCGTTTCTTTCAAGAAATAATAATAAGCAATTTCGAGAAATTGTTTTTAACGTACATAAATAAATTATTTTCAATGCATTTGAATTTATTGTGTTTTTCCAGAGATGAGCAATGAGATACGAAGATAAACTTAAAGTTGATAAGAAAATATATGTCAATCAAATATACAAAAAATTATATAGAGTAAAGACGAATTTGTATTTCGTGATGTTGATTGTTCATGCAATATCTAATATTGGTTATAACTTTGTTATAAATAGAAACGACGATAATAATGACGTAATGCCACTGGTAAAATCATATATAAATATTCACTAGTCTGACTCGTCAATAAAAGTAGCAATAAAAATAGCAATAAAGATAAAATTTTTTTAGTAAGTGAAATTTTTAACAGTCTTAATTTGTTGCCAAATCTGTTATTTAAATTGAATTAAATTGCCGAATATTCTTCCTAAGAAGCGAAATATCATCTTGGAAAGAATTCACGTTATTTTTTGCTGCAAGTCAAATAAATTTTAACGAAATGTTTATGTATATCCAGAGTCATTTAAATTTCTGATTTTTATTTTCTCAACTACCATTACACCACTGATAATTTCTAAAGTAGGAACTGTTTTTAAAATTTGGTTTGTGTCATTGCGAATAATTGCATTGCTGACTAGATTATGTCCTCAAAAGGAAATATGCTTTCCATCCAATTAAAACTTTTTGTCGCATGCACTTTTTTATCTATATTTCGAGTGATCTGTTAGCATACGAATATTGCTCACGTCGCAGGAAGAAATTGTGAACTTTGAGCTGCGATAAGTATGTTTGTAATATGATCATGAAAAGATTCATTTTTTCCTCGCAATCTCAATAAATTTATTCCGCCGAATGATTAGTCATTAATTCTTCGGATTATTAATGAAATCTTATTCGCAAAGTGTATATGTATCACAATTTGTCGTTCTCTCGTCATCGCACATCTTTATTTGTCCTGGGAACTTATAATTAATTACTGACATGGTTGATGCTGTCGAGATGGCTATATTAGCAGATAATGCATCGTCTGCTGATGTAAAGTATGGTATAGATTTACACAAAAAGATCATAACATGCGTACTAAAAACATATGACATTGGTACATATGGCACTAATATTTTGACTCCTCACTTATTGTAAAATCTTGGTCTAATTTATTCTAATTTGTTCTAATTCATGCGCTGAAGTAACACATTTTACAAGCTATTTTATCAATAATTCATACAATATAGAAAAATCATATCATAAGAAAATTTTCAAATTAATTTAAAAATTGACAAAAAATTAGGGAAAACATTTTCACGCTTTTGAATCGACTACTTTTTTAATCCTTATTTTCAATATTTTTTGTTCAAAAGCATATATGCTTTAAAAAGTTCAATATTCTGCATCTAGAAAGAATCTAATATTTAAAAAGAGGCGAAAATAATTTAAGTAATTACAAGATGTTGAAACAAAATTTTGTGTTAAAGAATATCATGCAAAAGGAAAAATTTTTATAAATATAAATTTTTAGAAAAATTTAAATTTATTTAAAGATTGTCAAAAATAACATGTCTTTTATGATTTAATTGCATAAGTGTTAGTAGATAATAATTTGTATTATCTTGAAATGAGTTTATTTTTATGAATAATAAACACAAAAGATGAAATAATTTTTTATGAAATAATTCTTATGAAATAATTTTTTAGATATAGATAAAAAGGTATCGTTGTTTACAATTTGATATAGAAAAATTAGAGAAACCTATTGATATAGCTATAAAAACAAATTCTCTAGCTATTTAAACAAATTATGAAATATTTTCACATCTTCAATCTATATCAAGAATCGAATAAATATCTTGCACATTTGCTTTAAATGGATCTTATCTTAGTTTGATAAGAATAAGAAAGATTATTTTGTACAATATATTCTTATTTTATCAGGCTAAAACATTTGAAATCGAATATAATATGTTATTTGTATTATCACCTTTGTCGTGGTAATGACTAGACTTTGTGCAGTTGTTAGTTTCTTTTTCTCTCTCTCTTTTTTTTTCTGTCAATAAAATTAACTCCAACATACATAGGTGTTCATGTCATAAAAAGATACATGCAAATGTTATATGTTTCCAACGTGTCAGAGATTCTACTGCAAATATTAAAACTCTCGCTGTTACATTTAATATAAAAATAAAGACAATTCGTTGTTACATTTAATATAAAAATAAAAAGAATTCGCGATCTAAAGAACATTGAGTGATTCTTTGAGAGAAAAAAACGGCTTGCCGTTATTATTTTCTTTGTGTCGTTAAACAATTTTAAAATACAAAAAAAGGAAAATGGTTGAAGCAATCTATCCTTCAATCCCAGATGAGCCCAAAACAGGCAGAGAGTCTACTTCACAAACTATTTCACAGGATAGTTCACAGACATCTGTACGGTGAGAATATATATTCAAAATATTTCAAAATCATACCGAAAATATTTTAATGTTTGTCCACCGATTTTTAATTCCAAAATGCTGAAAATATTTCCTTCAAACAAAATTCAATATTTTCCTTAATTTAAATATATATTTTATTCCTTGAAAATTTATATAATTTCGACGAAAAAATTAAAAATTAAATATCATGAAATATATAACATTTTTATCATATAATGAACTAAAACTAATTATTTTTGCTTTCTAATATATGTGATGCTTTTTATAATTTTAAAATATCATTCGATCTCGTTGGGAAAATAGCACTCAAGATCTTTGATACATATATATTTGTATAAATCTGTTCTTTAATCTGTATGTATTGTTATGCTTAAATTATTTTTGTAAGGCTCTTACTTAAATCACTCATGTTAAAATGAGCGAAGTAATTACATAATCATTTATTTAAATTAATCTTTAGAACAATGAGCAAGTCACTTAGACGTCATACTTCTCGTGAAATAATTAATGTTTTTGCATATAAAAAGTGCATATTATATAACATCAAGTAGGTGCATATTATATAACGTCAAATATAATAAAATAACAAAAATGTTAGTATAATACAATAACAGTATTATAATTATAGTATATATTTTTTATCAAAGGCTATTATTCTCCAATGGGGTGACATATTGTTTGTTTTCTTATCACATATAATCGGTATCACATATAATCGATACAATCATCAAATCTATATAAAAGAACAAAATATAAATTTAAAAAATTCTCAATATTCAAATTTATGATACATTGATACGATTATAAAATTAGAAAATTTGCTTCAATTGAAAAATTCCTAAAAATTCTATTATAATCACAGATTTATATTAATAATTAATATTAAAATTTACTTCCTTTTTTTTATTCATAATTTATTTTTCCAAAAGACAATATGTATTTATTTTAGATCTATTCTTTAAATTGAAATTTCTATTTACAATCTAATGAACTATATTGAATATATAATTCTAGATAGCACAGAGAATTTAAAAAGAATTCACTTTTATGTTACAAAATCTGAATTCATTTTCAAATGCAAAAAGAATTCTTTTACGTAAAAGAATTCTTTTTGCATCTGAAAATGAATTCAGATCTTGTAACATAAAAGTGAATTCTTTTTAAATTCTCTGTGCTATCTGGAGAACTTATATATAATTATAACTTTTAAATGTATGATTCTAATTTTTTTATGTACATCTTTTTATCTCTACAAAATCTAATTACATATATTATTATACATATTATTCATTTACAAAGAGAAATTAATCTTATTAATAATTAAACTCTCTATGATACTTTACATTCTTCTCTCGTGTAGAAAGTGTAACATATATGGTGGAACAAAAAGAAAAACAGATTTCAGTAATCCGTACGTCTTCCGTTGTGCGTGATGTTTGCATTATAAAATTTGCATGTATAGCCGTGAAAAAGTTGCAATCTATCACGATCAATGTGTACCATAAATTTCACCTCGGTTTTAACACAAGATAACTTTCCATTGCTTTTAATTATTCGAGTGTCGACATAACACGATAAATATAGGTAAGATAGGTTAGTGTACACCATATGTTCAATTTTATATCATCCTAATTTTATGAATGTTATTTTGAAGATTGAGAGATTTATATAAAAATAAATTATATTTGCTTGATTAATATGTATTATATGATATACGGTGATACACGAATTATGATGATATTTTAAGATATTCTATAAGTACCAAAACAAAGGTTAATATAAAAGGTTTAAGAGAATTTCCGATTTCTATAGTTAAAATAAGGACATGCGAGTCAGAATTTAAAAAAATTAATTTCTACCTGATTACAGCTATCTTAATTATTATCCAGCATATTACATGCAGTTATTTCACAAAAAAACTTTTGTTTACCTTGATCAACTGATACATGCTATTTCATCAGACTACTTTTATCTCTGTCAAACATACACTCACTGTTTCATGAATGAATGGGCACATAACTATTACTTTTCTCTATAATTATACTATGTTTGGTTTGTAAAAGATATCTTTCTTTGTGTCTTAATAGTAATAATAATTGATTGTAATACATGAAAAATCAAACAAGTCCAAAATTTAAGTTTGTATATCAAAAATATGTTTGACGCAATAATTTGGCCAGTTCTTTTTTGTCTATAAAAATCAATCATGTTCCACAACTAACTTTCTGAAATGAATTTTTATACAAAATTCTTTTTTATATTTATAGAAGACATTTCTAAAATATTATTACCTTATCAATATTTTATCTCTTTATTTATATTAAAATGTATTTACAAGATATTTATTTTATGAATCTGAATAAAATTTTTATATATTGCAAATAATTTAAATAATTTTATTAATCTAAATAATTTTCTAAGTGCTTTTCTTTAATAGAAAATATGTTAAAACAATTATTGACTCAATCTTACTAACAGGAAGTTTTCATAAAAGTAAAGAGAGAACTAACAATTATTATTTATTTATGACTTTCAGACCTATAATTTCAGCAAAAATGGAGAAAACCAATAAAAAGGTTTTAATTATTTCAATTGTCGGTACAATAATCGCACTTCTTGGCATAATCACAGGATCACTTTGGATCACAGTCATATACGATTGGGCAATCACAAAGGTGTGCTGAAGAAGAAAAATTTTATCTAATCAGTGTATATATAAGTGTTATTATGTTTAATAAACCACATATTCTTTTACAGATATTAACATTATCACCATCATCTATAAGTAATGATATGTGGAAGGAAACTCCTATACCAATGTATTTTAAATTTTATATGTTTAATTGGACAAATCCGCATGAATTTAATGCATCATCAAATGTAACACCACATTTTGTAGAAATGGGGCCTTATGTTTTTCGGTTATTATTTCCATAGGTTTTATAACATTCAATCAGTTTTATAATATACAATAAATTATACATATATGTTTTTTTTTCTTTACAGAGAAATTGATTATAAAGTAAATCAAGTATGGAATGACAATGGAACTATCACATTTCAAAGAAAGAAAGTATGGTTTTTTGAAGAATCATTGTCCAATGGGAGTCTGACTGATAAAATAACCAATCTAAATCCAATAGTTGCAGTAAGATATAATTATTTATCTGTTATTGCATAATTTTATTGCATAATTTTATTACGTTACACTGTTCAATTTTAGACAGTCGGATTTTCCGTAAAACATAAATCTATATTAATACGTAAGATGATCAACTCATTAATGATGCGTCTAGGAGAAAAATTAACATTAACTAAAAGTGTAAATGAACTGTTATTTGAAGGATATAATGATACATTATTGGAAATTGCAAAAAAGATGAAAACAACTAATATGCCTTTTTCAAAGTTTGGATGGTTTTATGGAGTAAGTATAATAAATTGAATATCAAATTCAATACAACAGTTTTAAATGAGAATTTTTCTTTCATAGAGAAATGGTTCGGAAAGTTACGATGGCACATTCAATATGCTTACTGGATCAACAAATTTATATAATAAGGGATTAAACAAACAATGGAATTTCAAAAATAGAACAGATTATTACGAGAGTTCATGCGGTATAATTGATGGATCAAATGGCGATCTTTGGCCACCCTTACCAAATAATAATACCGTATCGCTCTTTATTCCTGATATTTGCACGTATGTAGTGAAATTACATATCAATATAAATATAAATATCATTTAAAATATAAAAATATTTAAGTTGTAAAGTTGTCAATATAAAGAATGCTTTAAATTAAATATTAAATTTTAATTGATATTTTAATTTAAATAATATTGTTCTTTTATTTTAATGTGATTTTTAAGTTTAAAAGTATTAATATGTTAAATTTTGAATGAATTAGATTACATATTAATTTTATTCTGTACAAAAAAATTTTATTTACATTTAACACATTTATATAAATAATGTTAACGATTGCCAAAAATTAGCTTTTTTTTTTAATAAATAGATTATAGACATAAAAATTTAAAAAAAATGTATAATAATAAAATTTATAATTTGTATTTGAAAAGTAATAAAATTTGCATATTGTTTAGAGTTTTGAAATTATCATATGCAAATACAACAACATTTCAAAGTGTAACCGGAAACAAATATATTGGAGATGATAAAATGCTCGATAATGGCGAAAAGGTACCGTCAAGACAATGTTATTGTCCCAATGGAGATTGTGGACCTAGCGGAACCTTAAATATTTCATCCTGTAAATATGGAGCGCCAGCATTCGTTAGTATGCCACATTTTTACCTGGCAGATCCAAGTTACAAGAATGCTATATCGGGACTGTTGCCCAACCCAGAAAAACACCAAATATCAATAGTCATAGAACCGGTATGTATCTTACATAAAACATTATTCTTCTCAATATTATATAAGTGTATTGTGTTGCATAGATATTATATGTGACATAAATTTTATAGACTACAGGCATCCCAATACAAGTTCAAGCAAAATTGCAACTAAATTTATTAATAGAACCAATACAACACATGAGGTAAGTAATAATATAGTTAATATTACACTTTTTTATATAAATAAAGGAAAGAATTACTTGAAAGTCAATGAAATTGTGAAACATTGGAATATCATATTTCTTTATACTATTAATTACTAAATACAACAGAAAAAAATTGTGTTTTATTTAAGATATTAAATTTTAATAATGTTTTCTATTAAAATAATGTTTTGAATAATAAAAAAATTTATATTATTAAAAGATATAATAATAATTAAATGAAAAAAATATTTGAATCATATATATACTCTTTCTATAAATAATCTATAAATATGTTATACAATTCATTTTTTATTTTTCAGTATGTTTGAAAATATAAACAAGACATATATTCCAATGTTATGGTTTATTCAAGAGGCTGATCTAACTGCCAGTTATGCGAATCAAGTTAAAATACTTTTGATTCTTCCAACATTGGGTACTGTAACATGTTTTGGAATAGCAGGCATTGGAGTTTTAATATTCTTCATTGGAATTTTTGTTTACATTCGACAAAAATTGCGGAGTGAAGATAATCAGGTGTTACTATCAAAATACGATGGCGATATTAGGAATAGAAACGACATATAGTTTTCTCTTTTGTGCCATTGATATAATAATAGAGAGTTTATACTTTTTTTATTAAATTTTTTGCTTTACTTCCATTCAAATTATATTCAGGCTTCCTTTTTTAATTTGAGAAATTTTCATAGCAGAGATAAGACTGTATCAATGTCTTATTAATGTATAATTGATGAGAGAAACAATTAACGTGTAGTCTATAAGAACATAAAAGTGCCTATCTTAACTAGTATAGCTATGGATCCAACAAGTATCAATCAATAATAGGTGTAGTTCAAAAAGTCAATACTAAGATGTAAATATTAAACTAAAAAAGTTGTTTATTTCTACATTCGTCAAAGTATGAAATGAATATTAATATTTTATTCAAATGTTAAAAATCGTGATATAATATATTTAAAACAATCTTCATATACAAACATAATTAAAACAATCTTCAAATACACTAAACCATCTTTATGATGCAATGTGTGTAAATAATATACTAAGATGCAATAAAGGAAAATCTAATAATAGTGGCAATTTATCAAATATATGTAGCTATATATTATAGTAAAAATAGATGAATTATTTTAATTTTTTAAATATATTTAAAATATTGAAATTATTTTTAAAATATTAAAAATTATTATTTTCTACAAAAAAAGTTAACAGAAAACCGAATAATGTTAATATTTAATACTAAATCACAAAAAAGAATTTCATCTAGCAACTTCTCTGCCTATTATATATGTAAATGATAATTATTATTATTCTAGAAACCATTTCGAGATATATTTATATATTTTAAAGCAATCAAGAGGTTATTTTTAAATTTTTTATTTCTAAATTTAATTCTCTTTTGTAATTTTTGAAACATAAATTGAAGAGTTCAAGAAACATGTAATATATTTTTGTACAATTGAATCCGAACATATTTAATTATTGTAAAAAGAAGAATAGTAATATATATTGTAATAGAAAAATTTTATCATTTTTTATTATCTTTAACTCGTCAATCAAAAATCAAGCAGGTAAAATTTGATTTTTCAAAATAGATATAAATATAGATACATCAATAGGAACATTATATTTTTAGATAAAAAAATTGTTACTTTATTTTATGCAAGATTATCTTACTTTAAAACTTATTAAATTTTAATATAAAATTATATATATTTTTTAAAAATTTATACATAATAAATATAAAATTATCTTAAAATTATATAGTGTTATTATATCAAATTTTAAGTAATAATTTTTAAATTTCGAAGATTTTTCAAATTATATACAAATTCAATGATATAATCAAATTATATTTTCCTGTTGGATTATGTAAATCAAATTCTTGACAAGAAGATGTTATAATTATATTCTTAAAGATTATTAAAGATCGATAATGAATGCTATATAATTGTCATCTAATCTCATCAATCACTTATCACAATTAGCCTCTTTTTTATGATAAGATAATTATGACTTATTATAAAATGTACAAATTATTATATATTATTATCTCTCAGAATGCGCGATTTATTATATTCATATAATAAACGTGTAATATATATGTAATGCAAAAACTAATGCAAGTCATATATAACGAAAATTTCTATTGTATATGCAGCGACTTTTATTAATCGCTAATAATAATAATTTTACATTTTTGCAAAGTATTTTAATTGCCGCTTTTTGATTATATTTTGTTGATTTGTCAATAACAACTAAATTGCGACAAAATTAGATATTATCATCAAATATAAAAAGCTATATATCATTAAATATAAAAAGCTTTATAATACATTAAGGATGCACTATGCAAAATTATTAAATGATCTATTTAGATGGAAAAGTTGAAGAATAAATTCTAAAAATTTATAAATAGATCAATGTTTGTATAATATGTTTGCTTTTATGATATTTTCACAGTTTCGGATGCAATAAAATATGCAATCATATTTCAATACTTGTTGTAATCCTAAATATCTGTGATACTCAATGGAGAATGTATGTGCGCGAAAATGTGAAAAATATAAAATTATTTCATCAAAAATATGCATTACATCATTCATTATACTTTTACTTTTGATTACGTAAGAAATTCAATTTGCATAAGAAAGTGAAATTTCCGTCTTTGTGCAAAAGAAACTTAGGTGATTAACAAAGTAATTAATTAAAATTAAATTAAAATTACGGAAGAACATTCTATTCTCTTTAAATGTTTTTGACGATAAATTAAAATTGTTCTTTAAATTGCGACTAATGATACTAATTACAGATATACGAAGTATTTGTAATATTGAGTCACTTATTATCTATAAATTCTTTGAACAATTTAATTTGAAAGTTAGTGTACGTGATTTAAATTTGGGACACTGCGCAAAATCGTTATTTATATATCAATTGGTTTTTCATCCATTCTCGCCTCGAAAATTTTACGAATCAATTGGCTTTCCATTAATGTATTTTTAATGATGAAACGATTTAATAATATATACATATATGACCGCGCGACGAAAAAGATATTATTTTTATTTTTATTATATGATAAAAAGTCACGTGCTCATTATTTTGGAATCGCTAGTTAATTGCAATTAAATATAGATATATGTCAGACCCTTTTATCCTTTATTCTTTAAGCTCCCAACGGTATATAACTTTTCCATATTTCATTATACTTTCCCGGATATCGTACTCTTGCTATTGTCTCTAGACATCAATATTTTTTTTCCTTTAATTTATCCCATAATGTTAAAGTATGTTACAGTAGGATAATCGTTGTGATAATGCGAATATAATAATCGTTGTGATAATAGAATGGAGAAAAGTGTTGTTATATACACATTTGGATAAATATATATGTATATAAAAAATCTACTTTTCTTTCATTTTTATTATATTTATTGATGATTGGTTCGTTTGATCTTAAATTACACGGATGCTCACTATTTTTATGAAATATTATGAAATATTGCGAGCTTTTGCACTTTATTTATTAGCATATTTATCAGTTATTTCTACAAATATTAGCATATTTTTAAGTTATTTCTACAAGTATTGCGTGTCAACTAACATGATGCCATGTCAAAAGTTCTTATAAATGCCATGTTGATATTTTAATTTTAACATGAAGTGTTATTTAATCCAATGATTCAATGATTCCAAACATTTTTAAGTTAAAAAAGGAGCTGGAAATATGACACAATGAAAAGATGAAATATGTTCCGGTCGCATGCATTCATAGATTTTTGTTTCTCTTTATTTTCTTTTCATATTAGCTAAAATTAGAGAACCTGTATTTTAAGTAGACTTGATGTAACATTACAATCACATGTTAAAATATTAAATACATAGTAAATGTTACGTTTCTCGTTTAATTTAATGACATTGTAATTATTTGATTAATCAAATTTTCGTGAGTTTATCCCTCTCTTTAAAGTATGTGTTTTGTATGTATGAATAATATTAATTTAATATATAATAAATTATATAAGATTTAATATATAATAAATTTTATATAATAAATAAATTATATAATATAAATTTTCCTAGTGTTTTGCAGCTCTTCTAAAAATATTTTGTTATTACTGTATGCTTTTTATCATTATTATTAATATTTCTGTTGTGCATTATATTATTATTATTAATATTTTGTTATTATATTCTCGTCACAATATTATTAAAATATATTAACGCTTTTTCGCAAATATTTTATTACAATTGATCACCCCTAAAATGCTTTTTTGGCACAAAATAATGTGAATAATTGCCTTCCATTGTATTGCTGATATAATTTCCTTGACATATTCATAATTTCACATTTATTAGAAATAGCTGACACTAGGTTTTATTTAGATAAATTGAAAATAATCACTCTCTTCTTCTTTCATTCATTATTCTTATTTTTGTCACGAATCGATTTCAATAATCGGTTTTCCAATTCGATAATAATTTTCTTCGATATTATATTTTCTATATCAATAAAAAACATCTGTGACATATTGAGTTGGAATGAAATAAAAATATTTACTTTTGTAAATCTTTTCATTTATCCTCTACCTTTCCCTTTCTTTCCAGTCACGCACTTATGGATAAGAATATAAGCGTATAAACCACACCGAAGAGAATCGTAAAACATAGCGTTAGTAGTGCTGCAAGCTTGACGCAATACATAATACTTCTCTCATTCGTTCATATGCATTCGAAAGAGGTCGCATAAAAAGAAAATACATGTTTTCAAAAGATTAAAAAAGTTAAGAATAAAAAACTGAGCGTGTGCATAACTAAGATTATCTATATTAGTTCTCTTCTTTTATTTCCTCTTTTTTCATTTTTGCACTCTTTTCTCTATTTTTCTTTCTCGAGGACTTTATCTCTCGTTGATTTGTTACTTGTATTTGTTCTCTGTATTTATTTCCTTGGTACCATTGGGACATATATGTTTCCCAAAAATAATGCTATACTAAAAAAAAGATTTATAAATACTACACAAATAAATAAATAAATACACACATATGTGTTAAAATTTTTACAATTTAATTTATATTTTAAATGTAATATTAATATCTAATATTTTCTTCACTATTGAAAAAATTTTGAATATATAATTAAGAAAACTGTCTTATTAAAAAATGATAATGTGATAAACAAAAAAATATGTTTGGAATTGTCGCTTATGCCTAAAATTTTTAAAATAATAGCGAGTTAAAACCATATCGCAAATAATATAAAAGTTCATCATCCGTGAAGAAAATGCGCGGAAAATGTTATTAATTAAATAACTTCTAAATTCGAAAATCTGTCACACGAGCTGTCGCGGTGTTTTGTTAGAACATACCTCTTATGATACTATTCCCACGTCTATTCCATAAGGGATAAGATTAATTAACTGGTATTAACGCGACGCGAATGTGGAATGGCAAGTGGAAAATACGATTGGAGATAAATCACCGAAGATAAGATAATAACGATTCAGTGGTTTATGATGAATGAACATGCAAGTAAACATCGAGGGACGATAAATACCTCGATAAAAAAGCCTCACGATTTGTTGAAAAATGATTTGTGATGTGTGATTTTTAGTTTCGCAAACATATCTTAAACGCGCGATATACAATCTTTTAGATATGCGGAGCAACTTTTAACTAAAGTAAAATATGTTTACAACAAATTTATTTTTTAAATTTAAGACAAAAATTTTTTTCTGAAAAAATATCGAAATATCAATAATTCTTGGAATATTAATAAGTTTCAAATATCGAAAATAAAGATCTTTTTACGACTTAAGTTTTAAGAACAGATTGATAATTAAAAATATTATGTTTTTTAATTTCAAAGTAAATTTATTTTCCTTTAAAAGAATTATTTCAAGGATGTAGTTATCCAATTATTTAATATTGAGATAAAAATTATAATAGATAATAATTTTTCTTCACAATTTTAAGTTTAAATATATTTTTAATCCATTATATACAATAGCAAATTATATATAATATCTTTAAAGTTAAAGATAAATTGAATAGCATAAGCATATGTTAAAAAGTTTTGTCATAAATCATATTTACAAACTTTTAATTATAGAAATGATTAATTATGTATGTATATATATATATATATATATATATATATATATATATATATATAGATCATAATCAGACTATTGAAAATGTAGATATATTTCTTTATTATCTCAAGAAAGTGAAATGAGAATTTAAATTAATGCTAGGATATGCTAAGAATATGTATGCAACGGGAACAATTTTCTAGAGATTGCGTCCATATTTTACGCTTATGCTTGTCAAAACAATTCAAGGATCACTTATTCAAATGCCTGAATCACTTAGCAAATAGGTATAAATACAGTGAAAGTCTTTCTTATAATTAACATCCAAGTTCAATAATTAACGAATAGATTTTTACAAACGTAATTCCTAAATATTTAATTTAATTTATAATATTAATCCAAGGAATAATATTCCAATATTTTCGAATCAATTTATTTCAACATTGCTGTCATTATTAAAATACCAACAAATATCGTAAATCGTAAATCCACAAAATGAACCAATAATATCTCTTTTATAAAATATGATGACAAGGATAAAGTTGTTGTAGATTTAATGATTTTTTAATAGCGCACTTTATCGCGCAGATTAATGTTTTCGAAATTAGTCGAGAAATATAATTTTCTCGAAAAAAGCTTACGTTTTTCAAACGATTTTATTTTTCAGAACCATATAATTTAGAAATTAACAAAGAAGAATTTTAAAGATCGAGCAATTGTTAGCTTACGGCGCAGCATGATCGGCGTTTACACCTCTCGGCGTCCCTTTAAAATAGTGCACCTCAGTTTCGCAGAGTCCGCCGGCGCGTTCGCATCCTTTCGCATCGAAGGAGCTCTCGGTGATGCTCCAACGGGGTGAATTTATCTTTAGAATTCCTCGGTTATAATCGATTAAATAATCCTGACTGATTTAATAATCCTGAGAAATCATCGCGATGGTCCGATTTCATTTTTCGCCTCGCAAAAGTGTTCCGCGAAAGCATGAATCAAGTTAAAACTTTGTGAAGTCGTGCAAACTTTGTCTCCGCAAAAATATTTAATTTAAAAATATCTAAATAAAAATATCTTTGATTTTTCGCTCAATTATGCTGGCAATCGATGAATGTACAGGTAATAATTTTAGCGTACGGCGTATAAAATTTTTAATGTTTTCTCCAAAAATGATCTATTTCTGAGAAATTAACGAATTGGTTTTGGAAAACATTGGCTACATTGTAAAATTTAAAAATATTAATCAAGTGATCAGTATCAATGAAAAATCATTATTTGATAAAGTTCTTCTATACAAATACAATTAAATAAAATAAACTAGGAAAACAAGAGCAAATATATACACAATATTATTGATACTGTGCAACAGCTCTTATTTTCCCGATTTATTTCTTTTAATTATATCATTATTTACATTCTAGAATTTATATATACAATATTAAGTTTATTTTGATACTTCATATGATTTTTTATATTACTATTTTTTTATACTACTTTTATACTATTTTGTATACTACTATGTAAAAGTATTACATTTATTGACACAAGTAGCTAAATGTATAAAATGTAAAAATTTATTTAGATTGTAATAAATAATGTTAGATTATTTTTTTATTGTAAAAAAATATTTTTTATTTATATATTTCTCAATTCCAAATAATTAAAAATAACATTTAATATATTTTAAATATTAAATTATAATCTCGTTTGTATTAAAAAAGTAAATATTTGTTGCAATATGTTTATAGATAAGTGTACAACTCAGTTTATTTTTTTATATTTTAACTCTGTTTTTAATATTTTTTATAATCTTATCTAACGTATAACGTGTTGAGAATGCCAAAAATATTTTTAATATAATTCTGCTTAAATATTTAATTATAAATACCTACGTATACAAGAAATAAGAATCTAATCTTGTAGAGTATAGCGGAAATTTTCACTTAAGAAAGAAGGATTACTGTTATAAACGTATCGAGGACAGTCACGCGATTTTTCATCGCATAACAAGCTAAATGTGATTGTGCTTTTGCGAGTATCTTTAAAGTTTTATCGTGTATATACATTTATATCTTTCAACAAGAGACAAAAAAAGAGAAAGAGGAATTTGAAATGAATATTGCGGCTAATTTTTGATTGGATTTAACCAGTTGCTTTTGGCAATTGGCCGACGTCAGTAACGATTTCGATACGTGATCGCCACGAACGAAGGTGCATTTATGCAGCGATAAATCAGCATAGAAAACTTTATGACGAGACTCGGTACTAAAAATCCACGACGTGTTTCCATTCGTATTTGAATGCGGGAATATATTTACTTGGCTTCCTATACATTCAGGTACCTCGCGCTTGTTCTCTACTATACAGACTACTTTCTAGTCTGGTATGATATGAATGAAACATTGCGCTGTACAAAAAGAAGAAATTTATTAAATGGCAAAAGATGCAATCTGATTAAAGTAGAAAATAAAAATTTAATTTTACAGACGACAAATCTAGAAGAAATAGTCTATTAATTTTTTTTACGTATAATTATTTTCTTTCCAATCGCCGATAACGCATAAATCCTGCCATGTGTACACATCATCAAAGTTAAATTAATTTTTGGCAGGTACAAAGGAGTGCGGAAATAGTGTCTCATAGACTCGGCGACTCAATTTCCTGTAACACTTGAGAGGCGTATCTTTCTGCTTGCATAGTTAATTGTATGCGTTAATTGCATTGTTTCGTATTCGCAAAGAACGAGAATTAATATGAAAACATTTTTATAAATATGAGAGTTACATTAGAATCTTTGTTGAATTTATGAATTAAAATAAGAACAATCACATTTAATTTGTGTATAAAGTATGAGATCGTTCTTTCGATTATTCTCAACGGGACCATGAAAGTTTCAGTAAACGTCTCGTTCCTCGTATCATGTGAGGATGCTTGACGCGATAAAAAAGGAAAAAAAACTTTAACGGGACATTAGCACTTTGTTTATTGCTTAGCGCTTTCTAGTTTTAGAAAGAAAAAAAGTGACAAAAAGTTTCTGATAAAAATAATAGTTGTATCTTGCTATCTCCACTGATGATTAAAATTGCAAAAATAAAATTATTATTCTGATGCAGAAAAAGAGATAAAGATAGAAATTTTAAATATTAAACTCTAAGAAATATGTAAAATCTACATAAATTAATTTGAATTAATAATTATGATTTTGCAATACTTTTTCGCGAATATAAATAAATAAATTCATATTTGAAATTCAAGTTTGAAAAAAATGTAAATAACTAGAGTTAAAGAACTAGAGCTAAAGAAGCTTATTAATTTTCAACTTTATACATTGTTTGTAATATTGACAGTCGATTAATGAAAATATCAATGTGTGTGTTAATAATTTTTCATTCCACAAGATATTAGAAATGAAATATTTTCCGTAAATTAAATTTGGAAATAAGTTACAGAATACTATTCTTATCATTAAATTCAAAGCGGGATTTATATTTTATATAAATGGGCGATATCTAACATATTGAATTATATCGTATAAATAAATGAATTGCGGCTTATATAAGTTGTGACCCAGAAAAGTGGAACAATACGCGTACGATTTTTACCATCACATAACTAATTTTTCATCAACCATTTCGATTCGATAAAATAGTTCGATAGAGAAGGCGATACAAACTTTGTTCAATAAATCATTTGAAGACATAAAATGAGAACACGTAATAACTGCCACTAATAATTTACAATTATCTGGGGATGTAATCTTTTCTTAGGATTATGTCTTATATCTCTACATATCATTTTCTATATCTACATTTTACGATAAGTCTACTTTATTGAATTAAAGTGGCGTTGTTGAAAACTCGTAATTTGCAAGAATTGACCGGGTGTACTTTATCCTGTGTCATTAACATCATAATTCAATATGTCCGGCATAAATAGTACATCGACCTACTTTATCGTATCGCTGAATATTGAGCTTTTACCTCCTACGCAAAAAAAAGCATTTATATCTAAAAATCATCGGCATTCAAGATAAAAATAATCTGCAATTACAAGATCACTCAGATTCAACAGTCGCAGAATGAATGAATGACTTTATGCGAAACTTAACTTTTACGAGAAACTTAATTACAACATTGTTCTTTATTTGCCTTTATTAAAAATGTTTGATTTTTTTTGTCAATACACATAGCTATTCGTGATTCGAAATCAAATTAATCAATTTAATTTGCAAATTAATCACTATGAATATTAGAAATTCGTGATTCTAAATCAAATTAATCAATTTAATTTGCAAATTAATCACTATGAATATTAGAAATTCCGAGATTTGAAAAGCTATGACGAATGTTACTCTTTGACATTTGTAGATAAAAATTGACTCCATATTTTACATGGGACAATGACACGTATTCGTTTTCCAATTCTAAAGACTTTCTAAGGACACTGATTTATTTCTAACATTTGTAACTTTGCGTGCGACCGCGAATGCTTCGTTCTCTTGCCTTAAATCAACATTTTATTCGTTATTTCTCGCATAAATACAAATCGACTTAATTGGCCGAATGATCGCTCTTATTGCTCCTTCCATCATTTGTAAAATTTCAAACTTCTTTATTAATTGCATCTATTTAAAGAAATAAGCTGCATATAAAATGTAGAACGCATAAAACAACTAAATAATTTTAAAGATATTAATGTTATGAAAAGACATTTTATTTTTAGTGCAAAAAATTGAAATATTTTAGCGTCATTTCCCCTTTGGCGGTTTTTCTAGAAGAAAGAGAATTATACACCTACAAGATACATGTATATATGTATGTATGATTTATACTGCAATTTTATCTAATATTTTTTTTCTTTTTAATATTTCGTCACATTTCACACGTGCTTCATCTTATATAAATTTAATTTAATTTTTTTTAAATTTAATTTAACAATATGTTTTACACACACAGTATCTAGCTATTGTAGACGAGGATTATACGAAAAAAAGGTGGATTTGACATTTATGATTTTGGGCTATTCAAAGCTTGGAATGAGCATTTCCTGGAATTCGCTACTAACTTATATAGTGATAGTAGAAACGGACTTGGAATTATATCAAAGTTGCGGAGTTTAAGTGCATAGTATGAGAATATTATATCTGACGTGCAGGTAGCGCACAAGAGATGAATGAATACTTCTCCGAGATCACGTTCTATCCTGTGCACAGATATGAGAAGTTGATTACAATCGCGCATTGAAAAACGGAAGAATCCATAATTCTTGCTTCAAAGAAATTCTGCGTTGACCCACATTGCCAAGTACGGTCATGGTCGTAGAAAGAAGAGAAAAAGGAGAGCCATAAACTTTAAAAGCGTACTGATCGTTGAAAACGCTAGGCATCAAAGAGCTTTACGAATAACTTATATTTGTATGATTCATTCGACTACGTGTAATTCAACGTTCAACTAAATCCTCCGTTGCACGTCGACGTCTGTGAAGTGACATTTGTGTCATTTATTTCTACGAATGCGTGAACATAACTCAAGTAAACGAGTGATTTATCTATATGTACGTGATTTATCTGCTCAAATTCCATCGATCGATGAATACCTATTATACGCGACAGAATGTCAATATTAGAAACAAATCGCGACTAATTAAATCATTTACGCGGCATATAATTTCACGTGATTTGCGGCATTCTCGATATATCGCGTTAAAGATACAGTAAAAATTTCAAACATGAATGTCGCTATCTCGATCATCGTCCCTTGGCTAATGTCGATGAGCGACGCGCTCGACAATGGGGTCGATTACTACTCGGACAACGACGAAGATCTCGAGTACGTCAATGCAACAAATTGCACGAACGACTACTGTATCCCGGATGAGGATTATATCGGGTTGATGGTGCAACATATATTTCCCAAATTCACCGATTGGGTGCTGATCGCTATGCACAGTGTCGTTTTTCTGATTGGTCTGATTGGCAACGCGCTCGTCTGTATGGCCGTCTATCGAAATCACTCGATGCGAACGGTAACTAATTATTTTATTGTCAACTTGGCGGTGGCCGATCTCCTCGTCCTGCTCATCTGTCTACCGCCATCGGTTTTATGGGATGTCACGGAAACTTGGTTTCTCGGATTAAAACTCTGCAAGGCCGTGCCTTATCTCCAGGTAAGCATTTATTTTTGTAAGAATTATTCGCAACGCTTCCGTTTCTTAATTCTATCTTCCGAATATTTGCTTAGAATTCAGTCGAATCGCGGTAAAAAAGATATATGTTGTTTTTATTACGACAGCGGAACCTAATATTTGTATCTTTAACTTTATTTGTGTATTTTATCGTAATGATATATTAGATTATCTCTAATTTTGATTAAACTAATTTAATTTAATAAGAAATCAAAACTTTCCAAAAAGACCAAACCTCATGATCCATTAAATCCTCTTATTTAACAATTTAAACGGTCTTGTACCAACTAATGTCTTATAGCTTTTCTTAAATTAACTTGGCCAAACTCGTTAAATTCTAGTATATCTTTACGAAGAAAATTGGAAAGGTGCTTAGTTTACAAATTGTTTTTTTTCCGAATTGCCTTTTGCAATTGATAAATAGAGATTCGGCAATAGATCAATTTACTTGGACCTAACTCTACTTACAATCTACTTGGACCTAACTCGGGATAACTCAGGATTTCAGATTGTCACAGTGAGAAATAAAACTGCTTGATGAAAATGAGATTGATGTGCTTCGTCCAAACCAATATTAATTAAATATCATTTCTACAAAATTCGACAATTGCAGGATATTAAAAGTAATATCATACATGAATTTATACGTTATTTATTATTTATTGTTATTTTTATTAATACTAATATTATATTAAATTCTTATATAAACGGGTAATTTTAATTTAATTATTTCTGGTGTGCAGATTTTTAATTAATTGTGAAATTCTTTTCTATATCACGATTTGAATAATTTATATGCTGTACTATACATTATAATAATTTTTATATATTACAAAGACTATCTTACTCTTTTATCTTGAAAAGAAATGATATCCCACGCCTCCTCAAGTTTTATTCGAAAACTTCTTGATGCGAATGACGATAAACGAATGCTCTAACATACATGCATATGGGAGTTCTTTAGAATAAGAATGATAAAAATCAAAATGAGGAACAACACGAGTCGTGAGCTTCAATTACTTTTACTACGTATCCAAAAAGTAAAACGTAGAAAAAAAAATTTATAATTTAATTTTCGTTTATACATTTCTCGATTTAATATCCTAAAACGCATATCCGTGAATTTCATGGAGACTGGATCTGATTCGCGATATACACGATGTAATATTTGACATCGTGACAAAAATTGAAATTCGACATTTGCGAAGGCAGCATCACGTATATCCCATTTCCCACAAGTTTTAGGAGATGCTGTGGCATTCTTAAACGCGTCTTGGCTTTCTCAGAATTCACAATCATTGGAGAGGAAGTCACAAGTGAAATACATTTTATAAAACTAATTTCCGCCTTCGCCTTCTATTGTACTTTAACATCGCTATGGCTATCTCGGATAATAATAAAAATCAAATTTTCAATTTAAAAATCAAAAAAATATACAACTACATATTAATATGCAATGTTTGTTACATAGAGATGTATCAAATTTTTCCATAATTAAACAAAGTAAGTAGTATATGAAGCTTTTTTTATATTACATATAAGGCTTTTCACTTTTTTTCACGGTTCTATAATCATATTTTAACACTAAAAATATTTTTTTATGTTTAATAAATATAAAAGTCCATCTACATAAATGTATACGTTTTTAGTATGCACTAGTATACATATACGTACGGAATACTGTGCATGTTAGAAGTGAGTTATGCCTTCCTAAAATTTATTTTTACGTTGAGAATATTTTGGCATTTAGCCCTAAATTCGTTTCTAATATATACCTTCGCATCTCATTTACATCGTAACCCTTTAACAATGTTATGGGATGAAGGTCGAATTACGCTTGTTGCATGTATAATTTTAACCTTTGCGTATCTATATATCTAGATGCGATATAAAATTCAACCGCAGTCCCACGAGAGAAAAAAGGAAATATTCCTATCTAAGAAAAAGTACTATCATAAAATACTATATATAAAATAATATAATATAATAATTAAAAAAAGTAAAAAAACAAATAGATAAAATATAAAAAAGAATAAACTAAATAGTATGTATTAGAATAAAATATAAATAGTATATAATAAAATAAATAGTATACATATTAACACAAGAATACAGTAATAGTATAAATTAATACATTTAGAGAACTTTGCTTAAAATCACGTCCGTTCGGTTAATTGATAATTCGGATAAATAACATTACATTTGACTGAACGTGCAGCTATAAAAACGATTCGATGCAAAATTACCTCTTCATATATGACATATATATGTGGATTTATGCGGCAAACTCCCCCCTCAGCACGCAACATCAATAAATCAGTCATGTAATAAAAATACTTTTCGCTCAGGTACAGTTAAGTTGATTACTATTCTCGAATTATACTACTTTACTGAAGATTACTTTTGAACAAGTTCCACAATGTTTATTTAATAATAAATGCACGGTTAACTTCATCAACTTAATGCATTGCTTTATAATAAAATTCTTCATTGAATTCTTCATTGAATCAATTAATCAGCTTATTGTCGGATTTTGTTACTTTGATGCATTTAATATGATAAAATGTAGTCGAATAATTAAAACTTTTGGCTTGTCATTACAATATATTACGCAATGTAGATTGAAATAATTTAATCGTTTTACTTCTTGCATATTAAAATAAGCTTGTATATATAAGTTTGTACAATATGCGAAATATTGTGTTTAATTTTTCTTATAAATGAAAAATATATATTTAAAAAATAAATATAATTATAGTAAAAAATGCAATACAGAATATACATATATAACTATTAATATAATTGTGTTTAAATATTTATTTTATAAGTATTTAAATTTTATATATCTTTTTATCATTTTATATGTTTTTTTGTGACTCTCTCTCTCTTATTTGAACTATATTGTCAATATTGTTTGCAAACAATACATGTTTTTTTAGAATAAATTAATGATAATATCGCGGATTTGAATTTAAAAGAGAAGTGAGTCATCAAAGAGTCTGACAGATATTAGTATCTCAAGTGCACAATAGATGGCCGAGCGAGCTACGCTTATCTCGCATCTAATTTTCGATACGATGAGTTTATAAGGCTGCAAGAAGAAGCAGTCGGCTTAAAAAGGGTACTCGCTACTTCAATAGTGCGTCATGTCGGTTTAACGTCGGCATGGCGGGGTATGGCCATCAAGACATACCCAGTACGTAATTTTTGGAAACGTGAGGCTGTTGGCTGCCAATTCAGCACCGGCGCCTCCACCTAAGCTTTACATCAAGCAAAATACCTCTAGCCGTTTACAATAATTTTTACATACACTTGTCTTATCTTTTCTTTAGCTTAATTTATTTTTAAATACATCAAGATTTTATATATATAAAATCTATTATTATCTTATTGTTAAATTTATGTTATATCTTTTCATTTAGTTTTTAGTTATTAATGACCATTAATCTTAATATATTTAAAAATTAATAAATAATTTTAGAAAATAAAACATGTGTTAAATAAAGATAATTGTAAAAAGTGTAAGGTACTTTACTTAATATAAAACTTAATTGGAAGCAGTGATGCTTAATTGGCAAACAATCTCGTATTCGCAAAAATCCCACATCACTATTATATATACAATAATATAATTAATAAATAATAATAATAGAGATATTGATAATATAACCATTACTTAACATGTTGGCATTAACTTTACCAACAGTTTCAATGAAGTTAAACTATGTTCTTTTAAAGTAGACATAAGAGCTTTTTAGCAATTCAGATATATGCGCATAAATGAAAAACCTATAAAATACCATCCGCTAACTCTTCTCAGAGGAAAATTTTATATAACGCAATTAAATTTTGATTAACCTATATACATCATTCCTTATGCAAAATATGTACATATTGATATCCTCAATATTGACGAAATTGTATTCTATTATAAGAAAAATTGGACAAAAACGTGCCGTTGAAAATAAATAAATAAATTTTTCTAAAAGTTTTTTCAACATATAAAACAAATAAAAAATTAATACGTTATCTTTAAAAATAATACGTTATCTTTAAAAATAATACGTTATCTTTAAAAATATTATACATTCTGATATTATTTTTGATGAAAAGATTATTAAGAAAGTAATTTTTTAAAAAACAATATTTATTAAAATATTTTATAAAAACAGTTCACTATTGATAAAATTAAACAGAATATAATATAATATTAAACGATTAAAAATTTTGAAAATATAGACCAAAATATTTGTATGTCTAAAGTTTTATTTTTAAGCAGAATTTTTAAATTACAAAAAGAAAAAAGATGCAAAACGACAAAAAGAATATTGTGGTATACTTTCTTCTCTATTTCAAGGAATAAAAATAAAATTTAATATTTAAAAAATAAATATAATTATGTAAGAAGAAGAAAGAAAAAAATATTGTATGTACAACTAACTTTCCAAACAATACGCAAAAATAAATATAATTATGTAAGAAGAAGAAAGAGAAAAATATTGTATGTACAACTAACTTTGTCACAATCTCTCTCACACATACACATGTGTATTTTATATTTAAAATAGAATGTGTATTTTATTACATGTATTACACACACACACACACACACACACACACACACACACACACATATACACATATATATATTTTATTTTTAAACTAGAATGAATTTTTTTATCAATACTTTGATAATCATTATTAAAACACATTGACATACTTATTACAAGAACAAGGGACATTCAATTTCTTTTTATTACCCAATACATTATAGTTTCTAAGTCACGTACCATGCAATCTTATTATTGTTTCATTTCTTTTTTATATTTTTTTTCCTTGACCTTTGATCCCATTGTAACTTTGGAGATACAATTATAGAAGAGAATTAATTTCTAGATTTTTTAATTTTTTAGTAATATCTCTCTCTTTCTGTATATATATATATATATATATATATATATATATATATATATAATTTTCTT